ATACTCTCCAATCCACTATTGGATGTCTATTCTCTCCCTTGCCGATATTCTTCACTACTCGTGCCAGGCGAAGTGGGTATAGCTTCGGATTCTGTGTCGAGGATATTTGTTTCTCTCGTGACTTTACCTTCCTAGGGATTAGTGGCTATTGAGATAGAGTACAATGTATATTGTGCTCGGTAATTCTGGGGGTATTATCCCAATGCTGTTGTCATAGCCCCCATTGTCCGCCCCCAAGCTAAGAAGCCACTCGATCCTGGCTATGGAGAGGTGAGGAGTACATATAAGCACTAGTGACACGTGGGATTTCGTGACGAACTGACGGAGGCTGTGCTTATTTCTCATTTCTGATGATCTATTTCTTCTTTTCGTCTTACACTGCCGTTAGCTTGATCCTGATTATTGTTCTAGAATCTAGTGGTTCCTTTGAAGGTTGTATAGGGGCTTGCTTATCTCAGGCCTCCCGGGTTTCCAAGTTTGGATAACTTAGCCGGAGATCCATGTATATATATGTAGTAGATGGTTACACGACATACAATATACCTAGGTGTTGTACAAAGTACGTAGAAGCTGATTTTATTTATTTGTTTTTCTATTCTGATCTGCAGACGACTCTTCAGCTCCAGAGCACACGATCTGCCGGGCTCAACTCTGGTCTGTGCAGTACGGTCGTATGAGCATACATATACATATCGTACAGTGTAAACCAGTCTCCAGACCTTAATTAATTCGGCCCACTAACTACCGGTTAGACAAAGCCGTCTCTGATTGTGATTTGACAGGTCGTATATGCGAAGTTCGGGTAGATGTGGAGAACAATGTTATTGTGGGATCCAGATAGGATTCTTCTGGCCTATCGTCTCTTTTTCTCTGGAAGACTATTCTCGTATAATGCATTGTGAAAGGCTCCCTCGTTGTAGTTACCGTGAATACATACTAGATCCTGCAGAATCTCAAATTTCCCACTGTGGATTCCAATCAGCCCTGGCGGCCTGATCTGGCATGGAACCTATTACACAGCAGCCGATCGAAGGATATGCAGTGAAACGATGAGATGTCGCCATATCTACGATGTACTACAGCCTATTATTTTGTGGGGGGATTTTCACTGCAAGGTTGGGAATGGTGGTTGGATTGGATATGACGTGGGTTGTGAAAGAAGGGGGTGACCAGGTGTGTGTGTGTGGAGGTTGCGTATGGGGAGATGTGACATGGGGAATCCTTCGAAAGGGGGAAAAAAAGTGGAAAAAAAAAAGTCAAGTGAAAAAGTCCAAGAACCAACAGTTAGAATCAACTCTCATTCGTCAGAATAAATAAGACTACCAACATCAATAGCATCACCACCCTCGACTTATGATCATGAGCGACCGCGGCGATCATGAGTTGAATGCATGCGCGTTGACATTCAGACGTTGTACACCTCCTTCGACCACCCACGATCCCTAAAGCAGTAAATAGTCATAGGCACAGCGTCCTCTGTATATTGTAACTATCGGTGAGAACACCGATCAGTTCAACGCCTGCGTGCGTTTTACTCCCCGCCCCAGCCACACCAATCAGTCCCCGGGCATTGACGAAATGGCGAAGCACTACTGCTGCCATCATCACACCGAAGCCAGAGAGCCGGGTCATTAGCTCCGGGATCGGGCCTTCTGGCGTGAGCTATTTCTGCACTTCGATGTTTCAGCTGATGCATTGAATTCGCGAGCCTGTGGGGTGTTGGATGTTGGATATTGGATATTGGAAGTCTTCGGAATGTGTCGCCTCGGGATTTGTTGCCTGTGGATGGTGAGTGGTGAGTGGTGAGAAAGGAGGGGGTGGTGGGACTATTATTTTCGTGTGTAGTATTGGTCTCAGCTTGAGGTTGAGGTCGTATTTGCAATAGTTCCTTTGGCAGACATCAGACACTGATTGCATCAACGACTATACCTAGTTTAGTAGGTCGTTCGTAGATAGTCTTTCTTCATGGCTTGTGAATTTCTCCGAATTCTGGTTCAAAGTCAATAAACCCTTTAAGCTTGAAGTATAATCATCAATGTACGAAGTACAGAGTTTCCATTCTACTCCATACACCCATTTTGGCAGGTCTTTAAGTCTTTTAGTCTTTTACCTTTGAATATTATTAGCACCTGCCAAAGTATAATCGGGCACTATCGTATAGCAGACTTGGCATTGATCTTCAGGTATCCAGTAGATATGAGTCTATGAGTTTCTTGATGACTCTTCAAAGCCCGCATCATCATATGGATACCGGGATATTTGCCAAAGATCCCTGTTAATGTGACGAATTGTTTCCGATGTTCCCCCGACCGCTGCAAGATAGTCGAGCTCAACTAATAACGGATACCCGAGAGACTTCCCGAGCACATGAACCTGACGACAACTCGTACATCTTGACTCGGTTTGGCAACAGCCTTTCTTTGATAGTTAATGCTCCCATTGGACCATTACAGGGGGGGGCACAGGCTTGAATAAAGCGGACTTTGCTCGAAGGTGACGTCGGCCTTTGTCATAAATTCTCTTGCGAATCAGAACGTTGCACGGTGTTTGGAGACGTGCAGACGGAGTACATGGAGTACATAGTGAATCAGCGAAGGGGCTGAAGGATTGGGGGGGGGGGAAAATCATCTGTGCTTGTATTTTATGTTGGGTAATTTCTTTGCTGTAATATTTCAGTGGATTGGTAAATTACCTCTAGCGTGACGGTTTTTTTTTTTTTTTTGTCTATTTCCTTTTGCAGAGCCTCACCTCTTCACAGAGATTCTCGCCTGTCACATTCGCCCAACCAGCATTGAGGTATTAAATTGCGGTATATGAAGGTGAACCATGGAACTGGACCAAGCTATAATATAGTTTCATTTCCACCCATGGAAACACTTCGGGGTAGCCGAACGTGAATGACCTCGGGATATCAAATGTGGGTTTATCGAAAACGGAGAACACGGACATGGAGGCGGGACATGCAAGTATTCTTCAGGACTTGATCTTCATTCATACTTCTATAAAGGTAAAATGTAAAAGGTAAAAGCGTGAAGATTACGAGATATCTGGCATCGGGCACGGGATCTGCCCGGTTTCATGTCAAATTCTTTCTCTTTTTGTGATCTTCGACACTTTGCATGTGTTAGGCCGCATTCCCGGGTATACATGGTGCTATTTCTGCAGGAAGCAGTGGGGTTGGTAGCCTTGTCTTAGATGTTTTGTTGAGTCCACATGTATGGAGTAGAGTGATGTGATATCCAGCCTTGCGCCTATCAAAGCTTATTACACATTTTATCCAGCGCCGTTGGAACGCGCGTGTAATTATAATGTATAATGTATTTTTTGAATTCTATTTCACGTCAAATAGAAACTGTTCGCCGTACAACATACATGTTGGCTACTAGCTTATAGCGCTACGCTAGCGACCGCTATAGGATAGATCTCCTGCAGCATGCAGTTTACTGTTTCGGGACATGCAGGCAGACTGATGTGTACAGCGAATAACTTCGCGACGTTTGAACTGCACCAAACACCGGTTTGTAGCGAGATGTACACTACATTGGTGTATACAATATGGATGATCACCATCAATCGCCATGAACTAACCACTGACAAAATGAATTAAAGTAAATAATATCTCCATCCAATGAACTATATCTATAATGCCAACTATCAAGTACCTAGATACAAGATCGACAACACCGACATGTATATTTTGAGCACCTGACCCAACAACATCATAACCAACGCAATCAAAGCAATAAATATCTCCCAACAAACCAACTCCAACACCAACATCTCTTCCCGCCCTGCACACCCTCAAAATGACTTCATCTGCATATCTACCCCGCAATACGCCGGCGCCCGCCCCATCCCTAAATCTCATCACATCTCAGGATGACCGCATCGCACCAACCCAAACCACGTGGCACGATAATTAACTCCTTCCTATCTTGATATTAAACAAGCGAAAGCCGCACCGCCCCCCAACACAAACCCTCCCCCCTGGTTGGTTCGCCCGGGGTAGGTCGGAGAATTGAACGTTAGCCCACACACCCCCTTCGTGCGTTTTTAACTTCGATGGCCTGATCACTTTCCTTGCACGGAGTTTCTCCGACTACACTCGTTGTCTGGCTATTTACTTGTGGAGGTATTTTTCAGGTTTGGGCTTGGTTTGAGTTGGTTTGAGTTGGAGAGGGGGGGCTCAGGTGAAACATTCGGTCCTCGGGGGTAGGTATGGAATTGGAAAATGGGGAAGATGATGATGGTGGATGCATGGCTTAAATTCGGGCTTGCTTTTGACGCTGTTGGCCGGTGCTTTTGATGCTACTGGTTGCTAGCGGCCAATCTTGTACGTATGAATCCCTACACTGCTGGGAATAGATGGATACCCATGTAGAAGGGTGGTATAGTATAGTAGTATAGGTTGTGGTAGTTTCGTTTCAGGTTTCAATCTCAATGCAGGAGCGTCGGTGGGGGGAGGGGCTTTCTTTCATCCTTGTTGTTCGGTCTCGGGGATAGCTCTTATTTCCACCGAGAATACATGGGTGTGAGTATGTTAGATTAAGGGTTCAGGAGGCATCTCGTATAGACTATAGGTATACAGCATGTGTAACCTAGGGATCATATACTCCACAGGCATCGATGCAGGGCTCGTTTGACTGTATGCCTACTTGATACACTAGTTTCCTCTTCCAGTCCACAGTGTGTGGAGCATGTAGAGGTAGCTTGAGCTAGGAGTTTGAGTATTAGTCCCAGCCATCTTTTCTCCTCTCGGGGTAGTTTTTTAGTTGACTGGGCAGTTCTACACTCTTAGTAGCTGCAGAAAGTAAGAAAGTAGCAAACGAAGCTTAGGTTGAATTCAATGAAATATGAAGTTTGAGGTATCCGGGGTAAATCAAAGCAAACGCCCGATCAACGGAGCCCTGCTCGAACGAAAACAAAGGTAAGAGGTGGGAAAATGGCAGTGTCGCATAGCTGGCTAGTTTGATGCTAGCCATAAACAACCAAATCAGGTTTCAGTAGTCTTCATCCGAGTCTACGTGTCCACGGTAGCGAGACATGTACCCAGTCCCGCCATCCTCGCTCGCTGAATCATCAAAGTCAAAGTCGTCGTTGTCGTCGTCCGACGACGCTTCTTCATCTGGGTAATCGTTGGCTGGGTGGTTTTCGGCTGTGGTCGAAGAGGGTCAGCGAAAGTCTATGGGTTGGGGATGAAGAGGGCAAAAGAAGGGAATGAATCACATACCATTAGAGTCCGCATCCTCACTATCCCACTCCTCCTCGTCATTTTCAACAAAATCATCCCAGTACTCCTCGTCCTCGGCCGTGATGACAATGACACCGACTCCAGGCTGAGGCTTAGCGATATCCTTTTGCTGCTGGTCGGACTCATATTCGGCGAGCGGGTTCTTCAGCATCTCAGCTTCCGATAGCGGACGCCGGACGTAAACGTCGTAGACATAGTCGCCTTCGTCATCCTCCTCCACAGCCTGTTCAATTTGCTCCGAAGTCTGCGGTGTTGTAGGTGCGACTCTCGGTTCCTTGGGTTGACGGGGCTGGTGTTTCAACGGGGGCTTAGGAGCTGCGCTGAAAGCAGGCTGTAAAGATGCAGGCGGGGGAGGGGCCGGTTTCCCCGCGAGGGGATCAAAGTCCATGGCATGGTCTTGGTTAGCCTGTTGCTCAAGCTCCAGCGCGACCTGCTCGAGATCATGGGCTAGGCGTTCAGACTCCTGATCCCAGCTCCTCTGTTGTGTCTGGGCGGATTTCTCCAAGGTATCGGACAGATGCTGCTTCGCAGCTGAGATAGCACCCTTGCGCTCCTCGCGCCACCGTTTCTCGGCCTGGTTAACGACAGGTCGTTTGCGTGGTTTAACTGGTGACGGGGGTGTGGTGTCGGTGTCCTGGACAAGTTCCTTAGGCTTTAACGAGAGAGACTGTGCCTCCGCCACCAGATCCGAGACCATGGATGCCTTGCGCGAGTGCGCATTCCGCTGCAGCTGCTCGACCAGCACGGCCACACCAGGCGCAGGACCACCAGCGCGTCGCTTCTGGATTCCCCCGGGGGAACTTCTTAGGGAGTCGAGATTTGAGCGCGAGATCTGGAAGCGGCGCAGGGCCTGCGCGCGGCTGGAGGATGTCTCCATAGATGCCGGGCTGCTGTCACGCACTGCGGGTTGGTGGGGGACATTAGAGCTAGCCGCAGGGCCGGGCTGCAGGTCAGTGAAAGGAGAAGGGCCCCCGTAAACAGCACGCCTATGCTTTTCTTCTGCTTCTTTGCGGACAGCTGCAATGCGCTGCGCTTCACGGAATTCTGCTCCCGGTGAGGTGGCCCGTACCCTGGGCACGCCCATCGAGGACGCTGGCGCGCGCCGATTTACATGAAGGCTGCTTACTGAGCGCGGGCTGCGCAGAAGCCGCTGCACGGCTGGCGTTGCTGGTGGGCTTGGAGATGCATCTCCACTCCCGCTCTCGCTGGCTTTCAGAGTGACTCTGTGGAAGACGAAGTCGGTAAAGCGCCGCTTGGTTTGGTGGAGTGCGGATTGAATGACTGTGGAGTAGGTTAGTGTCTGTTGTCAATGTGTCGGTCGAAGTTTCATCTTCAGGGGCAACCATTTCCATGGTATTATGTATCTCTTTAAAGGGGTCTAGATCGCGGGGCAAAAAAACAAGGGAATTGTTCTCGTACATAGGGTCTCGACGGGCTCCTCCTCGCGCCGACGCTTGATATTGATTTGCTCTGGTGGAAGCGCCATGGTGCAAAGTTGGCGCAGATTTTGCGATGGCTTGCTTGGGGTTGTGGAGGAGAGATGAATGGATGAAGCGGTTTGAAGCATCCAATTTGATGTGTCCGATCTTTACCCGATTTGGTGTTGGCAATCACGTGATCTGAATATTGTAGATGTCAATGGCAGATGCATGAGAGCAAAATGAGCGAATACAAATCAAAACTAAGAGATTGGCTGTATCTACATGTAATATGGATTAAATATAACAATACAATGTAGAGTTTGGGTAACCTGAGTATCTACATATGCAGTTCCAACCTTGCAAGGTTAGTTTAAGATGATATCAGAAACGCTACAATTGAGACATCAATACGATGACTTTTCAGATGTCTCCGAATATATAGAACAAGACATGTGACCTGGCGCATCATTTTCATGTGTAAAATCTGCCCGATTCTATTATAGATGGATGATCATTTACATTTCTAACTAATGTTTCAAGTTTGTTGGGTAGATGGCCATTTTTCTGCTAGAATAAAAGCCAATAGGACCAAAGTCCCAAGTGGTCGCTATGCACTGCGATAATCGCCGCCACGACTCGTCCTTCTCCATGGTCATCATACAGTGAAACATGCGGCGTGCTCACAGCCCCGAAGCAAAATAAAGAGATAGAAAAGTCAAAGATAAAAAGAAGGAAGAGACTCAAGGCCAGCTAGCAATACAAGGTGGTAAAAGAAGGGAAGATGGCATGAAAAGGATTAATAGGGGAATAGAAAAATCATTGCGAACGGAATATGTCCGGACGAAGGAAGGGGGAAATCCAAAAAAGCCAAAAAGTAAAGAAAAGACAAGGGTTGAAAGTGAATGGCAAAGAGTCAGAAGTTAGAAAAAGAAGAGATTATGACCAATACAAGAAACGAATCAGATCAAAGTGGGGGGAGGAAAGACATGACAATCAAGAAGGGACTATATGTAAGAAGAGAGAATAATGTGGCATTAGGTTCACCGAGGACAATGAGTCAAGGTTGCATCCTTCGGAGCGTGCGCAGATAAAATTATTTGGCTCCGATCTCCTCTTCAGCCCAGCCGGGTAGCGAGTTTTCGTTTTGAATAGCCAGGCCAAATCCTGAGTGGTTCAGTCCACCGAGAGCAGAGAAGCTGGAGAAGCTGCTCTGAGGCTGGTGGGCCGCACCTGCGCGAGAGTGGCTGGGTTGGCCAGAGACGGGTCCGAAGGGCTCCTGGGAGAATGAGGGCAAGCTGACAGCTCGTGAGTGCGAAGCACGGGGCACGCTAAGGCTGCTGGTGCTTGCGTGGTGACCGTGTCCCGACCCATTTGCCACACTCAGGTAGCTGTTGGAGGACTTGTGCTGGTGCATAGGCGGGTCCATGTGTCCATTTGACATGTCGCCGTTGCTGACGCCGTTGTACAGCGACTGCTGTGACTGGGACTGTGCCTGTAAGCTAGAGAGAGCCATAGGGTCGTTGAGATGGTTCTCCTGATCCTGTGCCTGATGAGCTGACATCTGGTTCAGGTACATGGTCAGCGGATTGCTCGAGCCGACATTCAGAACCCCAGAGGGAGAGGTCACGTTCTGCAGCGGGTGGCGGTGCTGTCCATTTTGAGATCCGGTGGATCCTGATGCCGGGGAAAGGGCAGGGCGAGTCGGGCTGGACTGGGAGCCGGACTGGCTGAGGTTCTGCTGGAATCCGTTGAGAACGGATGGTGGTGACTGGCCTTCCATGCCGGCTCCGTTGCGGTTCTGCTGTCCATTCTGGTTGTTTCCGGCTTGACGCGGTGGGTTTCCGCAGCGGTCCTTGCCAAAGTTGATCTTGAATCGCCGGTAGTCCTCCCGATTGCGCATTCCCTCAATAGCCTTGATGGCATTGGCGATATTCGTGAAGTTGACAAAGGCGCAGCTCTTCTCGCGCAGTGTGTTCACCAACTCGATCTCACCGTACTCCGAGAAGTCCTGGCGAAGGCGTTCCTCTGTCCAGGCCTCGTCCAAGTTACCAACATAGACATTGCGTGATGCACCGCCGCTGACTGCTAACGCAATGGCGGGCGGGAGAGGGCCGGAGTGTTTGCCCCATCCAATCTTCAGGCGTCGGTTATGGATCATCAGCCCCTGCAGATTGCTCAGGGCGTAGAAAGAGGCGGCGGAGGTGGGATCGATGAATGTGACGAAGCAAATGTGCTTATCTGGGATGTATCGAACATGGTGCAGCAAGCCTCCGCGGACGACATTGCAGATCTCTTCAATAGTAGTTTCGGGGTGGATGTTTCCAAGGTAAATAGTGCGGTTGCCGAGATTGTTAACACCGCCCGCTGTCGTTGCCACGGCGGCCGCGGCAACAGACTGCTGCGCAAGCGCATTAGAAATCAGATCACGATCCGCGGTGTTCAGCACGTGCGCATATCCAGGTGCGATTCCAAGGAACTGGGCAGCATTTTGCTGCTGAGTCTTGGACACATAAGCACAACGGTCCTTGCCGTAGAACACCCGCTTCGGCGCTTGCCATTGCTGCTCCTGGGGGAGCTGGGTGACAGCCTTCATGGCATTACTGATCGACAGGAAATGGACGAATCCAATCGCCTTCTCCTTGACGATCTTGACGGTATCAATGGGCCCAAATTTGCCCAGATCCTCCCGTAGGTCATCCTCGGATGTTTCCTCGGGCAAATTTCCAAGATAAACGTTACGCGACGCGCCCGACTGTTGAACAGCCAGGGCGACTGAGGTGGGGACCTGTGAAGGCTTGCCCCAACCGACCTTGATATCATTTCCCTTGATTGCCAACTTCTTCAAGATGGCATCTGAATGGAAATGAGTGGCAGAGCTGCTATCCAAAAAGGAGATGAAAGCGCAATTCTTATCAGGGAGCAGGCGAACCGACTCAATTTGACCGCTACGCACGTGGTTCAAAATTTCCTCGGCAGATGTTTCAGCCGGGATGTTTCCAAGATACACGGTGCGGCTGGTCCCTGACAGCATGCCCGGGGCCACGGAAGCTTGGGGGCTGCCGAGAGCCGCATTGCCCATACCCCCAAGACCATTAATCGGCGATTGAGGACCGCCCATCATTTGGGAGGCACCCATGCCGTCAGGTGACATCATTCCATACAATCCGTGGTTCTGCATTCCTTGCGTTGGGCTGTGCATATGGTTCTGGTTGTTTTGGACGTGCCCATTGCCATTGGCCTGTGGGAAGCCACCGAAATTGGCAAATTGAGGCGATGCAAAAGCTGAGGGAGTTCCTGGTTGGAAAGGACTGCCTACCAGCAGCTGGGAGGGGAGCAGGGGGTGTAGTTCATATCGAAGCCGGATGCCATATCGGAGTGTTGGCCGGCGGCAGTGTTTATAGAGGGGATATTGGCGCGACGAGTATTCCGGTCCGAGAATCCTTGGATAGGGTTGGGGTGGTTGTTGTTGTAAGCTCCGTGGGAAAAGCCAGTGTCACCGTTCAGCGCGTATTTAGACCCGGGAGGGATTAGACGCGAATTATTCGGGATGCTCGATACATCCGAGGCTTGCATGGCGAGATAAATCCAACACTTGTCCTAAGACAAGAACCTAGCCTTAGTCGGGGATAAGAGGCCCTGACTACCAGACTGAGAGGCTCTGAGGGGGAGAAAAGGGAAAAAAAAAAATAAAGGGAGGATTATCAGATCACCATTCAGGAGATGTCTCCACAGCCAAGAGCACAGGGAAAAATAGGGAGGATTCGGGTGGAGAAAGAATAATGTCACCAAACAAAAGATGAAGCTCTTTCAAATGGAGACGTGTCTAAACGGAAGTTCAAAAGTCAATTGGAATGTTTCAATCAGGGTGAAATTGGGGAATGGGGATGGAGACAAACCTGTCCTTTTTTGGGGTCTCTTTTAGAGAATGCCACTGATATATATGTCAATCCCCCATGCAGAACAAGTATATCCAACTTCCTGAGGACGAAAGAGAAGGAGAATCCAAGTCAAAGACTACAAACAGAAGTCATTAGCTTAAAGAGGTTAGGAAATCCAAAAGGGAAAAATGACCTGAAGAAAAAAAAAAGGGGGTAAGACTGGGGGAAATTGGGGAAGAGTTTACAGTTGACAGGCTTGAACTAGTTCTTTTTTAATTAAAAAATAATCATTAAAAATAAAGAACCGATCGAACGAGAAACAGAAATAAAAAGGGTCAAAAAAGAGCGTGGAGAAAAGGAATGAAAGGCAAGGAAGTGAATCTAGGTAAGGTATGGAGAGGGAAAAAAAAACATTAAAAGGGGGAATAGGAGTGGGTTAAGGGGCCGGACTAACTTCAGTCTATATATTCTTGATACTGATTTATAGGAAGTTATATGCAGTTGTCCTCAATTGGATTGTACATTGATATTGAATATAAAAGAATAAAGAACATAATATATAAAAATCAAATATAAAGAATACAACATAGAAACTTGGGTTTCCCCAAACTTCGACTTCCCGTGGCTCCTGCAGAACTGGATCAGGACCCAATCTCATTACCCCTGACATGTTCATGAGATTATTACAACATATATTAATATAAATTGTATGGAGTACGGAGTACGAAGTGCTACCTAGGCGACCTCTTTCAAATAATGTTACTCTTCTTTTAATCTCCGTATATAGGCTCCGGGAAAACCGGGGGGGGGGGGGGGTTCTAGGTCCCGTGACCTCTTTTTATACATCTATCCATGACAACTGCAATATCCCGAACATGTCAGTCACTATGTCATTCCAAGGTTAGTACAGGCTCTGACTCAACTCGTGGATGAGTTTAAAATGCTGATCTACTTCAAATAATATATCCCTTGCTATACTACTCCGTATAGGCACAGATATACTGTACGTCTTGTGGGTGAGAGAGCAATATAATTATATAAATGAATAGATTCAAATCAGATTAGAATCCCATATTTAACATCGAATACTTGTGAATAAATCAGTCAGCCCTTCTAACCTTGGAAGGTTGGATCATAACCCCAAAAAGGTCACCCGAAAGATATCCGATATACAGTCCGATCAATGCCTCAGGCACCCGTGGGGAATCCCGCATCTATCGGAAATTTACCCCTCTACCGCAATGTGCGATTCCTCCCTTGGACAACTTGCAATTGGGAAGAGATAAGAGTTCCATTCTCTGCGTATCAGGTGAGTCTACTCCTCGTCACATTCTAATCTGTCCTGCCTGGATTCTTCCAGCCTTACGGTGTATGACTCACAGATTAGACCCTATATTAATTATTCCTCCCACAGAACTCTCCCGCATCTCGATCAATCAAATCCTTGGGCAAGGACTAGACCAAACGCCATGGCGTCTACCAACATCTACATCGACGAAGACGTCGGTAGAGACGAGTCCCCCGCCACCGGCACCGAGACCGCTCCCTACAAGACCCTCGTCCACGCCTACGTGGAACACCCCCCCACCACCGAAGGCATTCAGTACCTCACACGCAAGTCCCAGACCGACGCCGCCGGTGAGGATGTCGACCCCGCCGCGAAATTGGAGTGGAAGCCCGCCACCAAGTCGGCAATGAAGAAGGCCAACAACCTCTGGGAGCAGCGCAAGAAGAAGGCCGCCAAGGAACACGAATTGGCCATCCGCGAGAAGGCCGAGGCCGACAAGCGCCAGAAGGTCCTTGAGGATGCCAAGAAGGTCGTGATCAAGGAGAACACTTCGCTGCCCAAGCCCGTGCGCGTTCGTCTGGACGTCACTGACCCGGCCACCATCAAGCTGCGCACCACCGAGTCCGACGAGGCCGGCACCCGAGTTCGCGTTCTGGGCCGAGTTCACCGTGCCCGCGCCCAGAAGGATGTTGTTTTCATCACTCTCACCGACGGCTACGGGTACCTGCAGTGCGTCCTGACCGGCGACATGGTCAAGACCTACGACATCATGACCCTCACCCTCGAAACCTCCATGTCCATCCACGGTGAGATGCGCGCCGTGCCTCCCAAGCAGCACGCCCCCAACGACCGCGAGCTGCACGCCGACTTCTTCGAGATCATCGGCAAGGCCGCTGGTGACAAGGAGGCTATTACCACGCGTGTGGCGCCGGACGCCGACCCGCAGACTCTCTACGACAACCGCCACTTGGTTCTGCGCGGTGAGACCTCCTCCTCCGTCATGAAGGTGCGCGCCGCTACTCTGCGTGCTTTCCGCAAGACTTTCGAGGAGACCCGCATGCTGGAGGTGACCCCTCCCGCCATGGTGCAGACCCAGGTCGAGGGTGGCAGCACTTTGTTCGGATTCGACTACTACGGCGAGAACGCCTACCTGACACAGTCCTCGCAGCTGTACCTGGAGACATGTCTCCCCTCCCTGGGTGATGTGTACTGTGTGTGCCCGTCTTTCCGTGCCGAGAAGTCGTTGACCCGCCGCCACCTGTCGGAGTACACTCACATCGAAGCCGAGTTGGACTTCATCACCTTCACTGATCTGCTCGACCACCTCGAGGATGTTATCTGCCGCGTGATCGACTACACTCTGGCCGAGCCCGAGATCGCCGGATATATCAAGCAGCTCAACCCGGACTTTAAGCCCCCGTCCCGTCCCTTCCGCCGCATGAAGTACGACGATGCTATCCAGTGGCTGATCGAGCACGAAATCCCCAACGAGGAGGGCCAGCCCCACCAGTTCGGTGACGATATTGCCGAGGCTGCTGAGCGTCGCATGACCGATATCATCAACCAGCCCATCTTCCTGACTCACTTCCCCGCCAATATCAAGGCCTTCTACATGAAGAAGGATCCCGAGGACCGCCGTGTCACTGAGAGTGTCGACGTGCTCATGCCCGGTGTTGGCGAGATTGTCGGAGGTAGTATGAGAATGGACAACTGGGATGAGCTGATGGCCGCCTACAAGCACGAGAACATGGACCCCTCCCCCTACTACTGGTACACTGACCAGCGCAAGTAAGTTTTGATATCTCGCATTTGTTCCTAATTTTTTCTTATAGTCCATACTAACATCTGAACAATAGGTATGGTACCTCCCCTCACGGTGGCTACGGTCTCGGTCTCGAGCGTTTCTTGGCCTGGCTGTGCGCTCGTTATACCGTCCGTGACTGCTCATTGTACCCCCGGTACACTGGCCGTTGCACTCCTTAGATATGTTCAAACAAAAGTTATATGTAAGCATGATCACGATAGGGTACGGGAATGTGGCATGGGTGCTACAATGGACGAAGAATGAGATTTCCTTCAAAGATCAATTAGAAAGAATTCAGTTTTTATGTTACGTACCCAGGTACGGAGTATTCACGTAGATTTGGCTTGTCTCCTTGAAAACTCGGATATCGACGTAGACCTAACGTCCCAGCAAGATTGTTTAGACTGATGCCCACTGACACTATACATTCACTACAGCCCCGGACCACACCAAGTCCTGGATACTCTCATCTGAACCCGTATGTCCAATCTAGTCCACCCATGAGCAGTCTTCGACATATAGGATCTCCCGAATATAGTTTCCAACCCCAAGGATCCCAATCCCAAATCTCGAAACCTTTGCTGTTGCCGTTGCCGTTGCCGGTGAAACCCAGCCCAAGACCCTGGCACCTGGAATTCCCAAACCAACCAAAACGGAAGCATGCATGCGCACACAGCGTCAAAACCGAGTCCCGTCCGTACAGAGGTTTAGCTAGATTCAGAACACGGCTGTTCACGCGCGGCGTGACACGATCTGCCGTGCGTTCTGCGTCTCCATCGCCCCCTGACCGGTGAGATTTGGTGTTGGTGTTGGATTCGAGCTCTAGCTACAACAAACAGAGCCATCGATGGGATCCGGCCGTCTTGGTCTGGTGATGCTGGTCCGCTGCGAACCAGGTTGCGATCAGTAGGGAACGGGTATCGTCACGGCACGGCTGTGATCGAGGATGGGACATGGGTTTGTCGTCGTATAGAAAAACATCGGAATCGAGATCGAATTGGACGAAGTCTGGTCACGGTCACGGGGGATCGAATCAGCGTGATGTCATCCTACCGAGTTGTTTCGGGTCACGGGAAACCCTGTCACTGGTCCACCTCCTCTCATCATCTCGCACAGCCGACGATGGGAGATGGGTTAGTACGGGCTTTTCTTTCAAAAGAAATGAAAAGAGACTTGCAACTCTTGTGTCTAGGCAAGGGAGTGAGAGAAGAAGAGAGTCTCGGTCTCTCTCCGTCTACAAGAACAGAGACGGACAGTGCAAAGATGATCCCGAAGTCAATCGTGACCTGGGTTAGTACAGCCTCTTTTCAAAACAGACCAGCAAAGCTTTCCGGTATCACTAGCATAGCGTAAGAGAAAAGAGAAGCGTCTCCGTCTACAGGAAAAGAAGCGCTGCGCGCAAGGGTGATCCACTCTATCCTGTGCTTCCATTGCTCGAAACCGCACGGAGATAGAATCCGTGAGCCCACAGGGTTACCCATTCCACTCGGCCACTTTGAGAAACGCCCAAGCAGCCCTAGGTTCTGTTTCCAATGTCCAAGGGAGCAAGAATAGAACTGTGTTTGTCCCGTATTTTGGACAGTGTACCATCATATAGACGCGCGCAACATCGACGACGTACTTGTGTCCCCGTTTTCCTCTTTCCACGTTCTGACAACCGCAACTCGCCCCCATGGAGACAGATGCAGCTCAATCTCGGCACTGTCCCGCGTTGTTCAAAACGTCGACCTTGATGTTCGTATCATTTCTCAACCCTGTTCCGATGTTCTTTGCATCGTCCGGAGATGACGTTTCCCCCTGCACCGGTCGATGGGCTTTCATTGGGTTCCGCTCACTTTGGGTTAGTGGCTGCTGGCACTAAAAGTGTTGGCCGTATTTCACTTCTCATACCGGTGTTTGGTAAGGTATTTTCAACTTGACATGGGCATCTGAGGCATATAGCATGTTTCATGTCAACGAGATCACAGCTGTTGGCCCAGCACTGCCTCCTGTCGTTGGAACTGGGTACAAGTGCTTTTCTTTTCCCTTTTTCCCCTTTCTTGCTCTTTGAGTCGGACACACCGTCGTCAATCATTTTTCCTTTTCCTTTTTCAACAACCCTAATTAATACATACCCCGATAATACTTGTGACAAAACACAACCCACCATTCAAATCCCGGATGGCAAACTACCTCAGGAAAGAACATGTATGTGAAAAAAAAAGAAAAAAAGCGTGTGCTATATCGACTACCACTCGACTTGCAGCATTTAATTTGTTTTCTGCCTTTTCCAAGACCCAGGCAAAAGAAAAAAAGAAGGGCACTCTCATCTCATGATTGTTCTCCTAGAAGACATCAATATGCATGAATGGTGCACGATTATGCCAACAACCCCCAATTCGCTGGGCCACACTCCAAGGCACAAAAAGTGCTAACAATTGCGGAAACCCACGAACCACAGCGCAGGTTCTCATTGTAAGGTCAAAAGCAGAAGAGAGCGACATCATATCTCGTCCTGGACGCGTTGAAGGGCGACGTGGATCTGCTCGTTCGACGCCCCAGAGCGAATAAGCAAGACGAGCTGAGCAACAGCATCGCTATGAGCGTCGCGCATGACGGTGACCAAGTCTTCCAGGAACTTGCGGTAGTAATTCAAGTCGAGTTCCTGCTGGCGGATCTGCTGGCGGCGCTGAGATAAGTCGCTGGCGAGTTCGCTGTTCAGGCTGGTGGGGGGTCACGAGATCTCAGCTTCCGATCATTTAAGCATTGCCGGAAGGGGTTTTGTTTACGGGGATGAGGAAGATGTGTTCGGGGGAGAGAAACAGTGGAAGGTAAGAGAGAATGGAGGAGAAAGTCTTTTGCAATTTGGGGCTGATCGGGAACGACGACTACTCACCCTGCTACATTCTCGTGTGCCGACACGGTCTGATGGTCTCCGTTGCGGTCTCCTGGGCCTCCTTGGCCGTTTGTGGAGGTCGCTGGGGTGCGGCCTGACATCTTGTGTTTGGACTGGGTGAGGTGTGCTGTCAGGGGGGTTCTGTTCTTATGTGGGAAGAGTGTTGGGGATGGTTTGGGGCTATCGTTGCTCGAAGCTGATCATATGAGGGTTCCTGGTATTCGCCTGTGTCTACCTATAGAATATCACAACATTTGTAGCAGTTAGTAACCGGACTACTGGCATTTTGGGGGAGAAATGGACAGATTCTAATGGAAGAATGGGGAAAACGTTTAAGAGGGTGAAGTATGAATATTGACAAGGTATGAGGGGTTGGGGGGCACAGAGCGGTCGGCCATACGTTTTTATAGACAAGTGTCACCCAGCTGGGAAGAAGATAGCCTCATACATAGAATTCGTAGAAAGGTTCGGAGATGGGATTTGATGAAACTCGAGAGGTCAAAGAGAGAAAGGCGGGACCTTTTAAAAAAGAAGGTACTTGAGGGGATGCAGGTTGCCTCCAACGACAACAGGACGAGAAATAGAAGTCCTATACTTCATAGGGCTCTCAGGCCTTGGATTAACGTTGGTAATTTCGGAATTTCGGGATTTCGTTCAGAATAAAAAAGAGCCCAAAAAAAAGAATTGCATCGTTGTTCAATTGTTCATTGTTTAAGACCTTGAAATCTGCCGGAAAAAATTGCCAGCCAATCGTCGTGCTTTTCTCTCCATGGGGATGGATCGTTCAAGTATATTTGGGCCAGCCTCAGCTCATGCTTTTCTATTATTTTTTTCCCCCAAGGCTTTTCGGCTTTGAGCTTTGATTCTGGTCTGTTGGTTTTGCCGGAAAAATCGATGAGAAGTTGAGGGCTCTGGATTTGTCTTTTGTATTCGGATTTGCCGAGATCACGCTCCTCGTTTCCAAAGAGGCGAAAGACATTCCTTCTTGCATTTGCATCCGTGGCGACTTTTGGCTCTCTGCCCAAGGTAGTTTGTTTGTGGAGAGTGGTGTAGCGGCAATGATTTGCACACTTCCGTTCCACTGTTCCAATCGAGACAGGAGCCAATTGGGATGGCTAGGACTCTCGGGTGGACTCGAACTCGCGGTAAGCCAGCTGACTTCAAGTGTCTTTAGTGAAGATGGAATCCGACCCTCTATCTCGATGACCCGTTCAAACGCGTGGATCTTTTAGTATCCCTCGAAGCTGAAGCTGTGAATACTGGACAATCTGGAGAAACGTTGTCTCGTCAAGTCGCAACCCGAACGGGTTTCTTGGGCATCCCTGGGACCGGGTTCTGTCTTCTTTCACGCGAAGGAAAACACATTGAAGAGGTATAGTTCTCTCTGTCTTGTCTGGGATTCACCTGGCTTTCGTAGAAACTGCGTGCTGACTCGCTCTTTCCGTTTAGGACACCCTTTGTTAGCGCCCATTCCGTTTCTCCACGGGACTGGATTCAAGCTCCCTTTTCCCTCTCCTTCTTGTCTGTCGACAATCGAACCATCCATATCCACACTGTATACATTGTCGTATACTCGACCGCACCTATAAAGTTGAGCGCGGTTGGCTCTTCTCGTCAGACATCGATTCCATGATCCCGAAGATTTCGTTCCCGATCCCACGACCCCCGAAGGCTTTGAAAAGGATCACACCTTGAATGTCTTGTGGGACTGTCTAGGCATCGGTTACTGGCCGTTTAAAGAATAACAGGGGCTATAAGTGTTCCCATGACCTGGCTGTCCAGTTATGGGGATTATGGACGCGGCTGGATGGGAGGGCCGATTCACCAACACTCCATGATATTACCCAGTGTGGTAGTGTCTGGGTGCTGGACTGAATCACAATTGGGGGTGTGACATGTAACCAACATTTGATGCGGAGTCTGGCATTGGTTTGGGTATATGGACCAACCCAACCCAACCCCTGGCTCTTATATGCTTCTGTACGAGTGTGGTGTGGCATCTGTCCTTTATACCAACACTTTTCGGTTATTGGCCATAGAGAACAGGTCGTTGGTGCCGCGGAATTGCGTGTCTCGAGTCTGATAGACCACCCCAACTATTCTGTCATCACCTCAAGGGTATTTATGGGCCATGTCCGGGCCATGTGGGCTTGATAAAGGCGTTTCGTGGAACGGGAACAGGGATGGGAACGGGAACGAAAGTAAGTGACTGGTAGTGCAGTATGGGCCATGGGCACCGTTACCAAACTATTCTTTGTGGACGTTGTCGTGGGTCGTCTTTGCGCATCAGTGATGCAGTGTATGTGGCTCCATGTCGGTTCAGGGCAAGGGACACGATGTCCGTTGATCTTGCAAGCTATCGAAAAGTCCGTCTCTGAAGGCCGTCTTCGGGTCGGATGTCAACTTGAGCACAGGGTCTCACGGTCTGTGCTGTCACAGAGCACAGAACGCCGTGATCAGCTGAGCTAGACACAATAAGGGGAGCGTCGATCGGTGATTCGGGGCGGTTTCATCTGGGCCATGTTGAAGATTGCGTTGGTGTTGTTGGGCTTTCGACGGGGGTTCGTGATGGACATTGACGTTGGCTTTGTTCACGGTTTCATAGGCATCCAGAAAACAGGCAAAACAGGCAACGCTGTCATCATCCGCTGCAGCTTCTGGGTGACATCCGATCTGTCCGAGTCAGTCATTACATAGCACGGTCGGTAACCTTGGAAGTTGCCCCATTTGGTCAGCTCGGTGCATGACCGAGGCAGTCTCTTCCTGTGGTCGTTTGTCCATCAATGTGAGGCTTCCTAATCGGTGATGGTGATCTATCATGGCAGGGTAGGTATGAGATTTGAGCGAGAAGCAGGTGCGAGTCACCCACTTCGAAGCCAAGATCGATTGGGTTTGACACCTTCGACCTAACTTGGAAGTAAGGACCCCTGTCCCCAAGTGATGCCAGACATTTTCCAGGGACAACCTCATCTCGAGAGTTTACCTCGAGACTTTCCAGTTGTCATTTCTCCTTGGCAGGACACACGCAGCTATCATAAGGAAGGTCCAAGGTGTGCAGTTTCCTTTCCCGGGGAAGGAAGACAAGGGAAAGCCCTATCACTCACCCCGTCCAATTGGATCCACTCATGATGAGGAAAATAGTTCCTGGCGAGGTTATTGGGGGGCTCCACCGGCGCCAACATTGAAATACGCAATAAGCGTCAGACTTGCGTTCTACAATGTGCACTGAAGTCCAACGAAGAATTTCGAATCCGGACTGCGCTCCGCCAATATACGAAGATGTTAGCAGTCGTTGGAAATTCTCGTGGATGTGAAGCATCGAGAGAATGCCCTGTCATCGGGTCGGACGGATCTTCTTCAGGGTCCATATCTCACTACTGACCACCAATGCAGTCGCTGAAACCAGTACTAACAACAGAATATAGAGCAAAGCTTTGATATTGCTCTTGATATTGCTCTTGGTAAGGGACCCGTTACTGCCATGTACAGTCGAACCTCTAAAGAATTGTACGGCGGTCAGTCCTTTTTATGGGGATCCATGCGTCAGTGGCTCCAAATGTTCTTAAGTCCAGCCACCCGTGGACTCAAGTGGCAACCTGCTAAAGCAGAGTTGGTCTAACTGTCTCTTTGCATGTACCTAGGTACGGTGTTTTCATTTGTAGATGATTTGTTGTTACTCGGGTCATCCACGGCTCGAGGGGAAGTACATTTCCCAGGTCCGACTTAGCAGATCCCCTATTGTTCACAAAACACAGAGGGGACATATTCCAACTCAGAGCCTAATCTACGTACATGGATATTAGTGAGGGGGACATCGAGAGCGAGTCAGTGGCTCGTAATACCCATGAGCTAGCTTTCCAACCTCAGCCTCTCAGAGCATCAATCCGAGCTTTTCCCGAGCCTGCCCAGGTGCTGGTAGCCTTACGTAAGAACTCTACGTGAACATGACAGATGCCCTGTTTCCACGGCAGGGTGCAGATGACCTTGAGATTCGACATTGGTTCTAAGTTCCAAGGTTTGTTGTCCCATGGACATGAATAACCGTACATACGATCTGAACGTTCCAAGGTTGCTCTTATAACACGCGATGACCTCGATACATCGCCTGAGGCAGTAAATGTGTTTCTCTTTATAATATCTCCAGGGGCTGCATGGATGTGGACTTTATTTTCAACATACAGCGTACAATGTATATTATATCAATATTCACACGCGCGGCTTAATCCCAGTAACACTAATCAAGGCAGACCAGAATCCCAGCTGTCCTCTTTATCAATCCACTTCCGCGAATGTTGGTATGCAGACATGATGAGCCAAGCTCATACCTCTCGCCAGGTCAGAATCAAACGCAACAATAGCAGTTGACTGCCAGCAGCTAGACAGAACCAATGGACTAGTTACTCAATTCGAGAATCTTACCCCAACTAATTCATACACAGTGTCATATAAGAGTTATGTTGTGCATGCCAATGTATACAAATGCCACATTCCACAACCACCCAAAAATGCCACCAACACAACACCTAAAAACAACCCTCCATTCCTAATGTACGCGTGAAATACTAATAGCTAGCTCTGATCCCGCGCGCTGATTGCACCTCCGCATCCGACAAACACGACCATCTCAACAACCAGCGACGACCAACGACGACCAGCCGCCATCTATACACATCAAAACAGAGAAAAATAAAATAAAAACGGCAACAGCAAAAGCAAAGAAAACCGAAAGTCCAATTTAAACATGCATCTTTCCCCCCTCCTCCTCCTGAGCGCGACTCTCGCTTCAGCGCAATACGGCCCAGGCCCAGAGGAACTAGAATACCTCAAAAACATCAACGAAGGCTCAAACAACAACCAGAACCAGGACGAGAACTACAACCACAACTACAACGGAAATGCCGAGTACGACGGTCCCTACGAGCACTATCAAAACACCGCCGCGAGCCCTTACACCCCAATCCAAGCCCCAGCCTCATCGCCATCTCCTCTGATCCACAGCACATTCGTGGTGCGCCCTTCTCAAGCACCCGTTGCCCAGGCCCAGGCCCCGGCCCCTGGATACGCTTACAACCACCCAAGCCCGGATGTCTCTGAACCGTCTGCTGCACACCGGGACCAGCAGACTCCCGCTCCTCACCGCGAAGAAGCATCTCGATCCGCACCCAAAGACCAGTCCAAATCCCATGGATCGTCTCGACACTACGGACCCTCCTTCGATACAGCCAACCACAAACCCCCCGGCGGAACAACTGGCAACGTAGCTCCGGTCGACCCGCTGAAACCTGGTTCGAAGGTTGCGCCTCCTCCCCTCTTCCCGAACAAGAATTACGGAAAGGATGAGGGGAATGCGTTCTGTATGGGGGAGTGCTTTAAGCATGAGAGTGATGCGAAGTGTGGGGAGCCTTATGTGAGTTTTTCTTTCCTTTTTTTTTTTTTTCTTTTCACTTTTCCTGCATGTTATATAGATATATATCTTGACTATGTGGTATCCGTGCATATATATATGGGGTTGCTAACGCTTTTTTATTCCAGGCTATGGCTATCTATAAGCCGGCTAAGGGGTGCTATACGTGCTGCTTTACTTCTGATTTCTAGGGATTTGGTATAGATATTGGGTTTATTGGTTTGTGGGAGATGGGTATGAGTTTATTTGGTGTCTTTATTCTTCATAGGACAGATGAGATATCTCTCGAAGGTTTCAGGGTGTTTCTCATCCATTGTTTCGATTCTTACTTGTGCTTCTTTGTTGGGGTGTTCTTGATCAATATTTTAGTGTTGTCCGCCTTTCTTAGAAGTCATTTATTTCTTTTTGTTATGTTTTGTTCATCAGACTGAAGTAAGAGTAGTCTGAGGTGGGAAGTTTCATCGGCAGACTGAGGTTGACTTGTAGCCCTAACTTCAGCCACTGACCTATCAGCCTGGATTCAACTATGTAAATTGTACATGCATACAATATCTACATGTAGCTGAATACATAGTTAAGTACAACGGATAAGCACCCTAGATCTGTTAGTAGGTGTATCCACAAATAAACAAGCTTGAATTAAAGAACTAAACTAACATTGCTTAATTTATTGAATTCCGGTGGAGAGGTAGACGTTGAAAATAATTCCATAAGGTTCATTTGATCTAGATACCAGAGATATCCGCATTAAGAAATCTATATTCGCTGTGATAGATAGTAGGGAATAAAATAAAGAGCAAAATCCATCAGATCATATCATTTTCGACGCTGAAGAGCCACAGCTCGCTCGGACCCAGAATTCAAAGAAAAGAAGAAAAGAGAACAGCCACGGGGGGCAGAAATAAACCGAAACGAAACAAAGTCAAAAAGGAGCAAAGATGAGCTCATCTCATTTCATGAGACAGCAAACAGCCCCATTGTACTTCGTTCAATTCAGTTCTTCACGCAAGTCTCAGCGGGCCGGCCGCCAATACCCCGCGCCATGCAGATAGGAGCAGAGCGTTTCTCATACAAGCCACCTTCCCACACAGTACTGCTAGCAGGGAAGATCGAGCCACTGTCCGAGACACCGATGGGGCCGAGATCCTCATGCGCAGACGCGATGTGCGGGACGACCAGCTCGACGCCCTTGGTCACACTCGTACCGGAAAAGTACGGGTTGTGGCGCGGGGGCAGCGGACGCTGAGCCTCGTACATGCTGCCCAGGTAGTCGGAGGCGGTGCTGCTGAAGGACGAGGCCACGGTGGATGGGGTGTTCATCAAGCTGGGCACGTGACTGTGGCTGTGTGCCACATCTCCGACCAGGGCGGGAAGGCTGGAGCTGCTGCGTTGGACGGCAGGCCGGGAGAGCATGGGCTCGCCGCTGCCGCGGTGGAACTGGGAGAGATAGTTCCATGCCTCGGAGGATGCCAGGGATGAGGCGCTGCGCACTAATACGGGCTTCCATTCGGTGGGGTCGAGATCTGACTTGGCATCATGCACGTGGCTGGGTATCCGCATGGCAGGGATTGAGTGGCTTGGCACCCTGGTTGGGGTCATTGGGGCCACGATTGTGCGTGGAGAGAGAGGGGGAGATGCGGGTGGTGTAGTAGTGGAAGACATTGAGGACATAGATGGTAATGATGCTGAGAGTGGTTTGCAGGAGTCTTTGCGGCGGCAACTATATAGATGAAAGGAAATGATAAGTATTCGAGTGCCAAGATAATGATGCAGGTCCCAAACAAAGAATTGAGAATTGGGAGAAGGGAGGGAGAGGAGAGAATATCAATGGCTCTAAATATAGGCCGAGGGGAATTTGTCACATACCTTTCGCTACAATATAACAAAGTGTTGTTGGGGACAGTAATCTGGTTCTCACACATGGCGCTGGAATTGGGTCAGCTTTATGTTGAAGAAAAGACCGGTGTATGGAACACAAATGACGGCAACAGGCATGTGAGGGAAATAATCCCTGCAGGATACAGAGATAAGAGCTTTGGGTCGATCACATACCAAAAGTTCAAGAAGCTGGCCATGTCAAATTCAGTATCGTCCGAAGACGTAGACGGTTTGCTCGCTCCCCTTTGTCCCGAGCCCAATTTAGAGATTATGACGTTGGCACCGGATGTCCCTCGTCGATGTAAAGCTGGACGAGTAGACTTGGACTTGGAGACATGAGGAGAGGAAGGGGAGCGACGGTGAAAGGGGGCTGTTTGAGTCATGGGTGGCGGTGAAGGCTTTCAAATGCCTCACTATCTTATCAAGAAGATTCTATCGCCGAGACTGGAGCAAGTGTGGAGCACAAGGGCCCCTGGGGGAAGCACAGACTGAGGGATTTGTGGTCGAAAGTATTGATTCCAACTGGAATGTGCCGAGTTGGTGCAATTGGGAATACAAATGTTTTTTTTTTGAGAAAATGGAAAACACCGGAGTATGTATATTGAGAAACGTGGGGTGAAGAGTAGAAATGCTGATAAGGTAGTGTTAGCATCTGACAAGGACATTGATCTCCCGAGGTCGGGATGCAACAAGGAAGGCTATCTTTAGCCTGTGAGTGGGGAGAGATAAGGGGGGATATAGATAAGGCGTGACATACCAAAGGTTGTCTATACGAAGAGAAGTCTATAAAGTTGCAAAAATACCTGAGACTGAGTAGAAGAAGAGGAATGGGTGACACAGAAAGAATTAATAAAAAAAAAAGAGGGGAATGAAGTGGAATATATAAATATACAAAAGTGGGAAAAAGCCCTGAAGAGAAGGGAAGAAAGGAAAACGTGCTGTTGCGGTAGGATGAGACGATCATGTCTAGACTTTTTGAACTAGAACCCTTGGAGCCAAGTACCTGATAAGTCACTTCCGACCGCCTCCGACAGCAAATTTAAGCTAAAAAGTACTTCCAGGGTACTTCTCGGGTACTCCCAGGGTACTTGCCCCCCTTCGACACGCAATCCCCGATCTAGACCAGCGCTGAGTCACTTGTGACGAGCCCTGGAGCCCTTCAGGGCTACCTATAATTAGCCGGCGATATTTTTGTAAATGGACCTTTCTCTGGTGTTGTCATTGTCATTGCCTTGTACCACTTATTCACTTCATTAGGTACATATCTACATTTTCTCAGTTTCCAGACCTCTGAAACGCACAGATGTAGACTTCCAAGTATATGCATGCAGTAGCGCAGGGACCATATCTCCGGAGGGGGTCGGATCTGGCGTGATCGGTAGATTGACACCATTCTTGGCAATCCAGTATCTACAACTTAATACCTGTATACATTTTGCATGTGTACAACATACCATATACCATGGAAGAAACTACATTCTAAATGACGCCATAAATGCCTCGACGAGTTCAAGGATTTCATATAAACAGAACCAGATGGTGTGAACTGGTGGATATGAATACATCATCGCCCACATATCTTTATTTTTACATACAACATAGGTTTGTACGAAATGGTTAAAATACTACATACCTAGGTAGTAACAGAATAACTGCCGGCTACGGCGATAATAAAAATGGATCGATGAGGAATCGAGAATCTCGGCGGGGTTAGTATATGAAGTGCCACACACACAGACACACACATTGACACGTCTACCTATGACAAGTGTTGCAGGGCCTCGTCAGAAGGGGGGCAGATGTGGGACTATCATTCCAGGCCAGAGTCAAGTGCTAATCGTCGATCTTCCGTGTTTCGTGTTTCGGGTCTATGGGGAAAACCGGGGCTTTGTTTCGAGAACGATTGGAAGATATTTTCTTTACTGTTTACATCAGAAGATAACTTGCCCATTTGGCGTTTGTTTATGATCTTTTTTCCTTCCCGTTTGCTTTCCGCCGGGTACCGATTTGGTTCCTTGGATCGGCCAGATCGGGGTATAAATATCACAGGACGAACTTGGATTGATTTTTTTTTTTCAGTGGGGCTGGTGACATCTGTCAACATAGAATACATCATAATCGTAAAGCTTTGACGTTGAAAAGTCTGAGTCTTTGACAAAGTCCATTATTCGATGTGGAGAAGAGGTGATGCTGACGTGTGGGCTATTAGGTCTCGATTCTATCTGGGTATCTACAAAATATCGTACAAATAATCGTACAAATAATCGTACAAATAATCGCTCATGCTTTATCAATCTCCATTGGCTCCCCTGGAGGCGCTGCTCGAGACGCGGCCGGGGTAGGTGTCGAAGGAACCTTGCCGTTGAGAGCCATTTTGTCCATCCTCTTCCCTGTAATCGACTCGGCCTGGCCCTCATCCTTATCGGTCTGCAGTTTTACTGTGCCTGGACCTGGCTTGCCGGTAAATCGCTCGGGCACTCCACGGGCAGCCTCGGCCGGCCCGACAAAGCATCCAAGCATCGAGCTCCAGATATACCCTTCCGACAGCAGACGGCGGATTTGCCCATATGCGTATGAATTGGCGTAGGGAAGAGCGGTGTCTGGATCGCGGTAACGCGAAGGCAATGAGGTGATGACACAAAGCGATGACGAGATTTCTATGATGTGAGGTTAGCCTTAAAAATTCCTAGTAAGGGATCGAAAAGATACAACATACTTGTCAAACGAGTAGGCTTTTTGGCGTTGAAGTACATGCTGTATTTGCGATGGTTGGCGGTCGCATAATCAAAATTTTCCAAGATCGTAAGACTGCGCCCTGTATGCTCAATCACCGGAGGGGGTTCTGGAATTTCTGGTTGTGCTGATTCCTTCACCATTCCATTTGATAATTGTGATTCGGACTGTAATGTGGATGGTCGGTTTAGGCTCTGAACTGGGGCATTTTCAGGCACTGTGGCTTGACTAGGTGCTGCAGTGGCCGGCGAGGCTTGAGAGGCCAGTGCAATACCAGGGCTGATAGGTGTGGCCGATTCAACTGGCCGAGACTGGTCCAGTGGCGGTTGTTCTCGTACAGTCATCCCGGCAGCATGTGATATCGGGGTCTCTACCAAATTCGGCTGGGCACGAGCAACGTGCGGAGTGGCCAAGCTTGCCTGGTCCGTTGATTCTGGAACTTCTTGGTTAATCTTGGTAGAATCTGCAGCCGCTGCAGCCGCTGGTTGATCAATATCCATAGCATCGTTCTTAGTGGGGGATGGATCAGGTAATTTTTGAATAGAACCATTTCCCGCAGAATCTAATGTATGACGAGACGCTGGAATTTCCACAGCAAGTCTCTTTCTCTCCGAATGTTTGGACGACTCGGACGACTGCCTCTCGGCGGCGACTGATTGATCTTGCTCAGAGGGTGGTACTGGTGTATTTGCGTCAACCTCTGGAGCTTTCCCTTCCACAGCATTGTCCTTGCCCCGCTCGGCAGGAGGTGTGGTGATTGTCTTCGTCTCTGCAGAGTTTGCATCTGGTTGGCTGGCGTTCGCCCCAGAAGACACTACGGGGGTGTCTGTACTTTCTGCAATCGGGGCTGTAGCATTTTCGGGTGGCTTGTTTTCAGGCGTCTTTTGGTCTAATGTGGAGGTGGGAGGAGGTAGAGCGGGATTTGCCGGACCAGCAACTGTATGCAAGTCTGGTGGTGGTTGTGATGTGCCTGTGGTAGAGGCAGGGACGGGTCCAACGATGGTTGCAGACCCCAAGGCCTTTGACTCTGCCGCAGCCTTCTCTTTATCTTCCTTCTCTTTCTTTTTCTTCCTCGATTCTTCTTTATCTGTCTTCGGTTTGATCTCGATTTTGCCCACCCGTGTGAGACGCCCGTTCGTCCATGTAGCCACACCACTCCAGTAGGAAATCACTGGACCATCAAGACGGCGATTTTGTAGTGCTTCGATCCTCGCTCGTCTTTCGTCCGCTTTTCTTTTTTCCGACAGCTCCCAGCGGTTCAAACTTTTGCTATTAAGCCGTTCCACTCTCGCAGCCTCCGCAAGATGATCTTCCTGGGTCATCTCTTTCGGCTTCAAATGGGCCTTCCGCTTCTCTGCCTCCTTCATTGTAGCGATGATGCGAACTCGTTTCTCCTGGCTGTCCTTGAGACGAGCATGCGTAAGCTCCTTGTTGACCATGGTCTGTCGACGCGATGATTGTCGAGTAGGCCCATCCTCCACAGTAGGAATCCACGAGATGCGCTCTGACTTTTTCTTCGGACGAGGAGCGGCGGACATGGTGGACGGGGCGGTCGGGTCAATCTTGACTCGTTTGCGCAAGGTCTGGAACCGGAGGTCATTCTGGGCTCTGCGCCTCTTGCGCTCGTCTTTTTGTAGTTTCTGTTCGCCCTCGTAGTCGTTCTGCGCGTTCGGTCCTTGGTCTTCATCCTCGTCCGACGATTCAAGCAACTCATCCTCTGCGTCGGGGTCTACCACATCCGCAAACTCATTATCGTCTTCAACTTCCTCAAAGAGAAGCGCCAGGTCATCATCGGCAGCGGCTTCAAGGAGGGCAGACATGTGCAGTCCTGCGGTACTTCGTTTCGCGCGCCCTCTGACCAATGACTCCACGGGCATCTCCTCTTCCTCCGAAGATGGAAGCCCAGACGATGGGTCTTCTTCCATAATGTCGGCCATGGTGTTACTGGGGTGGCAGGTGCCTTAGAATGGACGATTAAGCATCGGACGCTAGAAGGGGACGCGCGCGAGAAACTATGCTTGAATCGCGTGTCAATGATCAGCAGAAATTATGAAAATTATAGCATATAGAATGTGGATTCTGCCACACTATTAAACATGAGCTGTTGAAGTGATGGAAAGATACCGTTGCGGGCAAGTTGGCAAGGAGATTGGCTTTGAACAAGAAGTGGCGCGAAAGAAAAGTTGGTGCCTCAGGCGAGTAGAAAATGGCCTGACCAATGGTCTTGAATAACGTGTTGACATCGACCTTGAAGCAACGACACAGGATTTCTCTGATTGTTATTTGGTCCTACTCCCATTGCATAGTGACTGATACTACTCAACTATTATCCCAGAAGCGACAAACCACTCTATTATGTACTACGATACCACGAACCACCCTGTTCTTCCGCCAATACTGAATTCTTCTGGAAGCTTGGCGAACACCTCGCAGATCCAGAAAGCACCCTACAGTTCTTCAAGCTAGCAATTTGCAGATAATATCTAGTCTACAAGATAGTCACCTCTCTAACACAGCCACTATGACCAGCCCCAGAGGACGCCAGAGCTGACGCCTCTGGTAAGGAACAAGGACGAGGACACGTACCTGACCCATATCCCTTGCTCGCCCCCAAAACACAGTCTTTGGTTTCGAACCCTCAGTCGCTTCTCCTTACATGACTGATTGCATCATATCTCATACCCTAGAACGATATCTTCTCATTCGTGATGAGCCTGCTTCATCTATATCCTGTCAAGGATTCAATCGTCGAAACATGACGCACTGGAATGCGGGGCTTTTTTCGTTTCCACTCTTGTCTCTCTTTTCGTGGTCATGCCATGGGCGCTTTTCTTCCGAGAGAAAACCTTGAATTGGACTTTTTTTGGAGGGAATGCTGGGGTTATAAAAGCCTTGTATCTGTACTAAACGTATACCTCTTTAGATTTGTTGATACCTCACCATATCCAACCAGAATGGTGTTTCTTGGGAAATCAATGACATCGATGGGGCTGTGCCATTGCCAAACGCCTGGAGGAACTGCCGATTCCCGATATTTGTTCCCGTTTGGATGTTTGGATGATTGCATGTACAGACGTGCAGTAAGTAAATACTTTATAGATGTCTGTCTAGGTACTTATGCACCTTGAATATCCCAGAACTTGATAGAAAATGGAATCAACCATATAGTTATAGAGTAAAACAATCCAATTACACCCAATGATTCAATCATATTCCCTATTTTCAATCGAAATTCATCTGAATCAACAATCGAATTGTGGGTGAAGCTGAAGGAGGGCCCTCCACCAACCACAGCCATCTTCCTCGGGCATCCGGCCAGCTCCCCAACATCTTCTCCTTCTTTTCCTCTCCCCTTCTCATCCTCCCTTTGACTTCTTCCTCACTTCTCTTTTTTTTCCTTTGCTTTCTGCATTATTAGGGTGAATTCAACTTTCGGTTCGTGTTGGAAGACACTCTCGGAGCGCAACACTAACTCACTTCCAGCCACCTCAATCCCTTTGGACCCGGATCATCCTTTCCATCTTTTATTTCTCACTTGACGCACTTCGTGCCAGACCATCCTTGTGAATTTGCCGTGTTTTCGAGCCTTTGACGACCATTAAAAAGGACCCGTCTTTTTTTTTTAGCTCAACTCGATTGCTTTGGGACACCCGCAGATTGTCATACACCCCCGAGCAAACGGTGAGATTATCATCAAAGAACCTTGACACTGCATAGCGGTGCTTGCATTTGGAAAGCATCGGTCTCGGTACGAAATATCCCCACGATTCATCTCGACTTTGTGGAATTGCTTTGTCGACCCCTCCCACTTTGCGACCCCCCAATACGAACACACATATTTCGAACATCAACTAATTTCGACTTCTGCTTCTAGTATATCCTCGATCCTTCGCTCTATCCTTTGTCCCATGATTCCAGTCCCACACTTTTGAACGAATTCACATTTCAGTTCCGACCTTGCTCTATTTTGGCATTCGCGCGGCGGTCATACTTTTGGAAGAGATTCGGGGACTGCCTTGCTGAAGGCATAAAGTGATAATCCATAATGTTGCCGGTTTCGCGACCTGACGGTCAGATGAATTTCAATTACATCCCAACCACCCAACCCATGTCGGGTACCTCGACGGGGCGCAGCTCTCCCAGTGATCTGGCCGGGTCTGGGAACCCAAGAATGCCGTTTGGACCTTCTCCGGGGTCCATTGGCAGTTCGAGGCCTGGGGCTGGCTCCCCTTCTCATGATTTGGCATCACGCCTGTACTCGAAGCGGTAGGTTTGCTTCCCGTGGGACACAAAACTGCGACAATTGGCTGACACCTTGATTCTTCCCGCAGAGCCCGTGAAATTCAAGCGCAAGAAGGTATTTCTCCGAGTATTTGGGGACCTCCTACTAGCGGCCATTCAACCCCGCTTCGCGAGAATATTCCCGAATCGCCGAGTCAAGATAGCTTTCCCGATTTGGTTCCTACCACCAATGGCTCTATGGACAGCCCTGGCCGCCGAGCTCGCGCTGGAACGGTCCCATCTCGTTTCCCTCCAATGGGGACACTGAATGAGATGGACCTTCAGCAGCCTTACATGCCGCAGACCTCACGACCAACACCCTCAACTAGTCCTTTTAGACCTCCCGGTGTTTCCGGGATAGATACAAGTTCCAAGGTTGCGAGTTCAACTGGTGTGGCCAACCCAGCATCGCTATCCCGCCTTCGAGCTGGCTCGATGCCGCAAAGAAGCAACTTTTTGGGAGGTGGCGGCCCCTTCGGCCCATCATTGTTTTCAACCAACTGGTCGACGGGTCGTGAGAGAGCTACAACTTTAACCAGCATTCGATCTTCGGAAGGGCCGACTTCGCCCAGCCACTCTTCTTTCTCGAGGGATGGACTTGCGGACACTGATGTGAAGACCTTGGATTACTTGGGGCTTGCGGAGACCCCTCAACAGGGAATGTCCTCTCTTGCACGTCCCTCGATGGAAGCTTTGATGCAACAGCAGCAGCAACAGCAACAGCAAGCCTCTGCGCTGCCACCACTCCTGGCTGAGTTGGCCATGATGAAGAACAATAACCGATTCCGATCATACTCTGTCAATGCTAAGGAGAAGTACGCGGATGACGAGGATCTCGAATATGAGAACCGTTACTCCCAACTTCCCTCTGGCAATATGACGCCAACCGCCGCTGCAACTGCCGCGCAACTTGCCGCCACACAGGCCCAGATTCACCAGCATAATCTCGCTGTTCAGGCTTTTGCCAGCCATGCCTCTGTCAGCAGACCCCGGGCGCGAACTGCTGGCATTTTGGAGGCGCCTCCCCAGCGATCATCCATCCGCAATTACCTTGCCACACCTTCCCGCCTCGACAACAGCTTCAGTGCTGCTGACCTGCAGATTCCCGAGAATGTTGAATATGACGAATTGTCCGAGGCAGTTCAGCTGATGCATCTCGGCGGTAACGGTATTCCCGCCATGGGTGGCCGGCAGGCCAGCGAGATGGCAGATGAGAACAACCAGGATGGGCCTACCCGGGCACTTTGGATTGGTAGCATTCCCGTATCCACTACTGTCACGTCCCTGGAGGCCATCTTTGGCATGTATGGAAAGATCGAGTCGACCCGTGTTCTAACTCACAAGAACTGCGGGTTTGTCAACTTCGATCGCCTTGACAGCGCTGTCCAAGCTAAGTCGCTGCTCAATGGCAAGGAGATTTTCCCAGGCGCAGGCCCCGTTAGAATTGGTTACGCCAAGGTTCCTGGTGCATCGGCCACCGGTACTCCTGGTGCCAATGGCATCCAGTCGTCTCCAACTCCTGACCAAAACTTCAGATCAAATCTTGCAGCGGCAGATGGGGCAGATCGAGCGGATAACGCTAATGTTATCCCTCAGATTCCGGCTCTGGCTGATCTGTTGCCTGAGATGATGCAAATCGTGCAAGAATTCGGCGCAAGTGAAGATGACTTAAAGAACATCACGGCAAGTATCCAGATTTCCATCGCGTTCAAAGCTTTCGAGGATGAAATCCCCTCGGTCCAGGAAACGAGCCAGTCCCGGATGTTCGACGCCCCTCGTCTCCGTGACATCCGGAAGCGCATTGACAATGGTGCATGCTCGATCCAAGAGATTGAGGAGACTGCCGAAGCCATGCTTCCTGAGGTTGCAGAGCTAGCGTCCGATTATTTGGGCAACACCGTGGTTCAGAAACTGTTTGAATTCTGCTCTGAATCCACCAAGGAGCAGATGCTGTCTCACATTGCACCCCATCTCTGCGAAATTGGTGTCCACAAGAATGGGACCTGGGCTGCGCAGAAGATCATTGATGTCGCGAAGACTCCTGGACAGATGCAGCTGATTGTTGATGCTCTCCGCCCTTACACTGTTCCTCTTTTCTTGGATCAGTATGGAAACTATGTCTTGCAGTGCTGCCTGCGATTTGCCAGCCCCTTCAATTCCTTTATCTTTGAGTCTATGCTCAGCCGAATGTGGGAAATCGCCCAGGGACGTTTCGGCGCCCGAGCGATGCGAGCTTGTCTCGAAAGCCACCATGCCACCAAAGATCAGCAGCGGATGCTTGCATCTGCTATCGCTCTCCACAGTGTGCAGTTGGCTACTAATGCCAACGGAGCTCTTTTGCTCACTTGGTTCCTTGATACGTGCACATTCCCTCGCCGCCGAACAGTATTGGCCCCTCGACTTGTGCCTCACCTTGTTCACCTCTGCACGCACAAGGTTGCCTACTTGACTGTTCTCAAGGTAATCAACCAGCGCAACGAGCCGGATGCTCGAGATATTGTTCTGAAGGCACTCTTCTTCAGTCCCGGCGATGAAGTCTTGGAGAAGATCCTGAGCGACCAGACATCTGGTGCGACTCTGATCTTCAAGGTCTTGACCACCCCGTTCTTTGACGAGTCTATGCGGACTGAAGTCGTGAAGAACGTGTCCAAGGTTCTCACGAAGCTTAAAGCTTCTCCAAGCCAAGGCTATAAGCGTCTGATGGATGAAGTGGGCCTCTCCTCACGAGGTAGTGGTCGGGAGCATCACCATGGACGTGAGAACTCCACCCCTGAGAAATCGCAACACCGCCAATCCTCTCGCCAGGGAAGCACAGGTTATCCAGCCCAGCCGTCCATGGACAGACAGTACAATGGACAGTTTACTCCCAACACGTTTGGACACAACCCCGACAACCGTCCTATCTCCGCCGACCACTCCAACCCCCGTCCCTTGATCCGTACTCGAGCAACGGACTTGGAAACCACTTGAGCGGTCTTTCCGGTGCAGGCGGATACAGCCAGGAACCTATGAGTCAGCAACAGCTGCAATACCAAGCCTTCCTTGCCGCACAGGCTCGTGGCGTTTCCACAGGCTATCCTGGCATGCCGGGCGCCAACTACGGCTACCCAGCTGGCTCGCCTGCTGTAGATAACCTCCGATCTCTGCAGCCGCAGCAGGCTTCCCAGCTGCCCGCCGGACCGGGCCAGATGAGTCCCAACCCGATGCTTTCCCAGAACAACTACCAACAGTTCAGCCCCGCTGTCAACCCTGCCCAGATGTATCAATACCCTCCGCAATACTACCCCCAGGCACAGCCTGTACAGGGGCAGTCGGGCGGAGGCCGACGTGGACGGGTGAGTTCATTCTCGGATCGGCCCTAAACCGTGTAATGCGGCAATACTAACGTACATGCCTTTGCGCCCAGCGTTGATCCCATCTTCGCGTATGATTTCTAATCGACCTGCCTTCCCATCTACATGTATAAATTTTCTTGATCATCTTTTCTTCTTATTTTTTTTTCTCATTTTTGAAGTTTCTCATGGAGACCAAGCGGATTTATCTAGCTACGTGTTGTGATTTCACTGTCCTATCTCTTCGCCCTGATCGGACGCTGGATCGCCGGCAGGGGAGAATCGGACCCGGGAGAGGAACTGGCTGTGCATGGGGAATCGGTGAAAAAGTCTTGTCTCTCCTCTGGGTGGAGGCCCAGTTTTGTATCTTCAGCGTTTTTGAATGACCTTGTATCTTGTGATCTTACGATAGGACTTTTTCTCTTCTGTCTATTGTTTTAAGATCAAGATGTCGGCTGCCTAGTGGAGCATAGTGAATTGATGCAGATGTGAAAAGAGACTATATTGCAGTGAATGTTAATAAATCGAATCTAATCGAATTGAAAAAAATCAACTTTATCGAAATCCCTCCGTTGAATTTATATGAGGCTGAGAGCTGAAACCTCCACAACTACCCGGTGCAATCCATCGCTCATTTTCACCATCACCAACAAGGGAAAGACAAGGTCCAGGATGAGCAATACTACTCAAGAGGAGACTGCAATTCTCTTCCAGGACACAAATATATATCTCCTCGACATCCCGCATTCCATTGCGCTCGCGCAAGAAGGGAGGGCAACACCACACCAACAACCAGCCCCAGAATCAAGTCCAGGAACAGAAAAGAACACACACAGGAAGATACTGAACCTACTTTCATGCTCACCTATAAAAGAGCCATTCCCTTCTACCGAGCCCAAAAAACCAGCTGCTCTCGCGAAGGTCCTCGACACCATTCCTATCTCCGAGAGGCGGTTCCACTCGGAACTGATACTGCCACTCGTGAGGGATTCTCTCGAAACTATCAAGGCTGGGTTTTCCCGTGATCGCCGATGGTGTGAGGCTCGAGCTGTGCCTAGTGATACTGAATCTCATAGTAGAGCGCCGAATCAGCATCCACGGAAGCGGCGGAGGGGAAACGATTATACGTGCTTAGAGTCTGCACCGGACGACCATGTTTCGACAAAAAATGACCCACCAATGATTCTATCGACTACCTCGCCCAATGACTTCGAATCTTTATCAGATCTTGCAATTGTCAAGAATCCATCACCAGAGCCCGCAATCATCAGGGTTGGAAGCTGGCAGGGTGATGAATCGAATTCTCCGTGTGAATACATGGTCCCACCTAAGTCGAGCTTTGTGCTTTGTACACTGCCTCTATTCCAAACTGAAGTCGACCGTCCATCTACATCAAATAACTATCCTATCCCCGGACTCCCGGAGCACCAAAAGTTCAATCTCATCCTCATGGACCCGCCCTGGCCAAACAAATCCGTGCGACGCAGCAGACACTACCAAACACATCACTATTCCGAGATGGATATGCTTACCGAAGGATTACGAGATATACTCCGTGTACACTCGCACGACCCCACAACAAGACAGGGGCTACGTCCATCAGAATCTCACACCGGCTCCCCAATCCAAAGCGAACAGTCTATAGCTGCTATATGGATCACGAATGCGGAAAAAGCCCGACGAGCAGCATACAAGGCCTTGAGCGGGGCTGGCTTTTGCATCTGCGAGGAATGGATCTGGGTCAAGACTACGTGGGACGGACAACCGATCTCAGCACTGGACGGTCTCTGGCGAAAACCGTATGAGATCCTTGTCATTGGCCGCAAGAGTGGCCTTAATGTCAATGTCAACGTCAACGCTAACGCCAATAACGCACCACCCCTGTCTCAAATGGATGACCTGACGCGCATGAGTGAGGCTATTACCACGAGACGGGTCATCGCTGCGGTTCCAGACTTGCATTCTCGTAAACCAAGCCTGAAATCTATTTTTGAGAAAGTGTTTTTCACCGAGGCTGGTCAACTCCAGGAGTATTCTGCCCTCGAGGTGTTTGCACGCAACTTGACGGCTGGTTGGTGGGCTGCTGGTAATGAAGTCCTCCGGTTCAATGCCAGTGAGTGCTGGGTTGATAATAGGAGGCAGAGGGATACAGACTATGCATGAATGTGCATGACTATGCAAAAATCAGGTTTTGAGGTCGGCCAAATGCGTTACATTGAGGTGATTTCCAATACTGTCAACAAGCGGGGGTAACCTATTGACTCAGCGCTTATGTATATGGGGTCATGGTACTTGGTGCATCAGGTTGTATATAATTAGTGATGCATACATACATTAGGTACATACACATAGAGGAACACACCGGCGGGCACCGTGGGGCCGCTTATTCCTTCGAGAATTTATTTCATCCCGATCAGCGCGGAACGTCCGCCGCGCTGACAAAATACATAATATTTTTGATTTACATATTTTTGATTGCAATTGCAACATCTAGTGACTCAATTGCAGTAATAAAATGGCATCTTAATTTCTATCACTCTATATATCCTTTCAGAAACGTGGAAAGACTCTCGCTCAGATTGACCTCTGTGCGACCCCTATGTTGTAAACCTGCCGAAACCAATTCAGCCTCATCGAATACAACATAGACAGATTTTTCCAAACGCAAATCTTCTGTCCTGGAAGATTTTTCAGAAATGGCCAAAGACCAAGAAAATGGTTCAGGGATCAATGACAGTTCGGAGCGTCCAAAATGCTTCACCAGCACATTCCAAGAAGTTCTCTTCGTCCTAACTGCCACGATGGCCATTGGCCAGCAGTCATTCTTCCAGGGCTGTATCGTGGGAGTAACCGCATCTATTGGCAAGGATTTACATATGAATTCTGCTGAAATCACCTGGATCAATGCCGGTGCTTCGTAAGTTCTCCCCACATTTTTCTACTAGATTTGAGTTTGCCCCGTTTTTTATATGATTTGGATCTCTTCCTGTTCCCATATACATACATCATACTATCATACCATCACCCAATATACAACATACAACATACACTACTAACCATGCACTCAACCCCAACAGCCTCACAAGCGGCGCCTTCCTCCTCACCTTCGGGAAGCTAGCCGACATGTTCGGACGCAAGGTCCTCTTCATTATCGGTATGGGCGGATTCACCATCTCGCTACTCATCGCCGGCTTTGCAACAAACGCCATATACATGGATGTCTTCTCGGGAATTTTAGGTTTATTCGCAGCCGCCGTCGTCCCACCCGCGGTCGGCGCCCTGGGCGCTACTTATGAGAAGCCCTCAAAGCGCAAGAACCTCGCGTTTGCCTGTTTCAGCGCGGGAAACCCGCTGGGTTTTGTCGGCGGCATGATCATCTCCGGTGTTGCGGCGCATTTGTATAACTGGCGCGCTTCGTTCTGGACTCTTGCTGTTGTCTATGCTATCTTTACCGTTTTGACTGTGTGGACGGTGCCCGCTGATGGGTTTACTAGGACGCCGTTGAGTGTCCAGGCTTTGAAGCAGTTTGATATTCTTGGAACGGCATTGGTTGTTGTTGGATTTGCGTTCTTTTCGAGTTCGCTTTCGTATGTTTTTTTCCCTGGTGAATTTTATACCAATGTTCTTGGGCTTCCCGCTGACTACTTTTATAGTCTGGCTGCAGATGCACCAGATGGCTGGAAAACGGGATACGTCCTTGGCCTGTTTATTGTGGGCTTTTTCCTTCTCGTGGCGTTTCTGTATTGGCAGTCCGTTGCGAAATACCCTCTGATGCCTCTTTGGGTTTGGCGAGATCGTAACTTCTCTCTTGTATGTGTTCCACTTTCCAAGGAAATATAGATCGAAACTAACCGTTCAGCTCATTGGAACTTGCTGCCTTGGCTTCATGGGGTTCTCTGCCGTCAGCTTCTTTCTCTCCCTCTACCTTCAAAACTTGAAACATCTGTCTGCCCTTGAGATCACCGTCCAGCTACTCCCAATGGTTGTCAGCGGGGTGCTGGTCAATATCGTCTGCGGCCTGGTCCTGCACCGCGTAAGCAACAAAATACTAACCGGCATCGGAGCACTGGCATACACAGCCGCGTTCCTTATCCTAAGCTTCATGAAGGAAGAAGCTAGCTACTGGGCATTTATATTCCCAGCGCTAGTTCTTGTCGTTGTTGGTGCTGACATTCAATTCAACGTCACAAATGTACGTCCAGCCGCCCGTGTTTTTTTCTATTCCTTAATTCCTTGTCTTTCTGCAATATGTTCTGTCTTTGGGGATTGACTAACTTCATCTAGATGTACGTGATGTCCACCCTACCACCATCCCAGCAATCCATCGCCGGCGGCATCTTCAACACTGTCAACAAGTTGTGTACCAACCTGGGCCTTGGCATTGCTACTTCTGTTCAAAGCTCGGTCGCTCTTCGCATGACCGCCACCTCGCCTGCGATTCAGCCTTACCTCTCGGTTTACTGGTTTGCGGCTGCGGCTTCGGGGGTGTGTCTGCTTTTGGTGCCGTTCTTGACAATTGGTAAACAGGGCAATTCTGTCCCGCAAAACGGCCAATTGATTCCCAGCGAGGAGGCTGGTGAGAAAACAGCTGTTACTACTAATACCGATTCTGTGATTTCTTCTGCTGTTGATATCACGGAGCCCCCGAGGAAGTAGACTACAGGGCTGACCTTTTCGTCCTGAAGAGGGTCGGCGTTGTGATTGAAGAGCAAAAAGTGTGCGATATTTGGATACACTAGATATACCTGGGCATGTATATATACATCACATCCCAGTATATCCTGACTATTTTTCAGCGGAATGACAGACACAGACACATATCATTAAATGTACTTAATAACATACCACTGCCTTCAAGGCACAGCTCAAGAAAGACATCCCCTCTATCCGAATACCAGATCCAGAAACACCTTGAAAACCACTCATTCCGAATCCACCGGTGGACTCTAATCAAACAAAGGCCCCAAACTAACCAAACTAAACCTCAAATCCGGATTCCCTCCCTGCGCCTCCATCTTCAAAAACCTCCTAACCCCCAACTCCAACGCAGCCTCACTAAGCGCATCCTCCCCCTCTTTCAAAACCCCCCTAGCCAGCGGCCCCTTCCTCCTCCCATCCAACTCCCAAAGGGTACCATCAAGCCCCCTAACAAAAGCAACAAAATGCAAATCCACATTATCCTCCGCCAACGGCGCAGCCGTATCCCCCAGCTTCGCCGCATCAGCATGCGCACTCTCCAGCGCCTTACTATCATACAGCAAATCCGCCCTTTGAACAGGCTCCAGTCCCTCCGCTTCGCGGAGCAACGTATCCAAATCCGAGCCGGCGATGACATGTTTCCGGGCCTCGCCGTTCGAGACCGCGTGCAAAAGCCCGATCAGTCCGCATGCGTTCCGGATCGTTTGCTTGAACCACATTACGGGCTCGGAGGGCCCGGAGCCTGTGTAGGTGGGTTTGGAGGCGTCTTCGGTTTCCCGTGAGGCTTCGTATGTTTGCGAGACGGGGAAGACGAGGAGGAGGGCTTGGGAGGGGCGCGGGACGAAGGCTAGCAGGTCGGGCTCGTCGATCGAGAATACGTCTGTGAAGCCTAGGGTTGGGGCGAGGCCGAGTTGGTGCACTAGGTGCGACATTACTTCGGGGTTGTTTTCTGGTGAGGGGTTAGTTTGGGGTTGATTTTGGGGGTGTTTGGGGGTTGAGGTCGGACCTAGTGGCACGAAGGCCTTTTGGGTGAGTGGGACATCGACGTGTGCCATTGTGTGTGTGGTTTGGTGGTGGTTATGGTTATGGTGATGTTGTAGGTATGTAGGTTAGTGTATGTCTTTGTGATATGGTGAGGTTTGGGGGCGAAGGATTGCGGGGTCCGGGAGTTTCCACGTTTTCTCCAGCATTCGATATTAATTGCTTTTTTAATTGCTTTAATTGCGCTTTGATAGTTCGTTGCATATAGTATCAGCCTTATATTTTCTAGAAAAGATGAAACAGAATAATATGAATATAAATATTATGTATCTCTGCATCGGGTTATACTTTCCGAAATTGGAAGTAGAAACGGCCTTGGAAGCCTGAAAACTAAGGCTACAATTTTCGGCGGAAAAGGGATGCATGTGTTTGCACGTGACGATTTCAACGCTTTCAACTTCCATATATTAATAGCAACAAACCCGGTTAAATGGATTTGGATAGTTTTGCATTGACCTGCTGTCAAGCAGGATTTAGATCGCCATTTCCCAGCGTCCAAAAAGGAGAACTTTAATCACCGAGGCACCGAGGATGGTCATTAGCCAGAATGACAACTAAAAGTGGACGACTCTGACAAAAGTCACACGCTAAATTGGCGGGTACCAAGAAAGCCTTTGTTTCCAAGGCACTAGTCTAAGCCGTTAGCGCGAGCCTGAGCATGATCGCCACTCTGCGTCCTTCCGAAAACATGAAGTGTCCACCAGTAGTGATTGGATTGGCATACTGACTTTCCGTGGGACCCATGTCAATTTCGGGGCTTGCAAGAAACCGGGAACAGAGCCACGTTATACGAAGCTATGGAGCCAAGCTACAAAGTACTCCGTCGACCCAACGGCGTGGTAGCTCTCGCGAACACTGCCGAAAACTGCCTAAACGAGCACTACTGAAACCCTAGCGGAATCCCTTATAGACACAAGTCCGTCTGTTGTCTCGGCAGACCACGGCAGACCACACGTTCCTCCCACATGTCATGCTCGGCAGTTTCAATACCATGCCCTAATATATTGCTAATTAATATCCCATCACTATCTTTGCCTGACTCGACGGGGAGTGGAATCCAGCGGCTCTTAGTCGACCCAATTTATTGCCGAGAAGAAATTCATGAGTCGAGCCGTGTTGTCGATCATCTTGACGTTGGACTAGCGTTGTTTCTCTCCGACTAAAAAAACATTTTTTGGCCAGCCAAGGCTAAAAGAAAAGGGCTAACGCGTTCTAGTTCCTCTTTGCTTGCCCCTGTATTTTGTAATTTTCCACGGGGCCTGTCAGGGAGGGCGTTCTTATTAAGAATCCTTCTCCCCCACATTTTTGAATCCTTCCCGGCATGACAAGCATTTGTCGATATGACTGACGAAAAGCAAAGAAGCACGGCGGTTCAGACCGTCGCCGCGGTCTTTCTGCCAATCGCCACTATCACGGTCATGCTGCGCATCTATGTGCGCGGTTGGATCGTAAAGGCATTTGGATGGGATGATGGGGCTATGGTAATTGCAATGGTATGTTCAATCTTGTATCCTTCAACCGGAGATAATCCTTCCCGAAAGTTTTCTGTGGAGTTATACCGAGATCTAACAAACTCAATCTACCACAGTTATTCTACGCCATGTTCTGCGGAACCATGATCGGAGGCTCGATTTATGGCACAGGCTATATGCTTGAAAACCTCGCTGTCGAAGATCGCCTTATCGCAATGAGGTTCTGGTGGCTCTGCGAGATCGCCTACTGCTTCGCCTCGGTTGGATGCAAGATCTCCGTCTGCATCTTCCTGATGCGCATCACTATCAGACCCCTCCACATCTGGATCCTCTATACCGTCATGGCCTTCACCGTCATATCAGGCCTGATTTTCATGTTCCTCATGCTTCTCCAGTGCAGGCCACTGGAATATTTCTGGACCAAACTGGCCCACGACCCTGCTATCATAGGCAAATGCATGGATATGAAGATCATTGTCATCATGACCTACGTTTACAGTGCATTTGCTGCGCTGTGTGATTTTACCGTCGGCATTTTGCCCATCTTCCTCGTCCGCAAACTTCACATGAAGCGCCAGACCAAGATCGCCGTCATGGGCATCTTAAGCATGGCTTGCATGTATGTTTTCATCTCGGGTTTCCGTACTGGTTCCAGGTCACTGACAAGAGATTCCACAGTGCTTCATCGGCGGTTATCGTTCGTGTCCCCTTTGTCTCAACATTCTATGACCCCGATTTCCTCTGTATGTTCCTACTTCCCCTGAATGATAGACCAAGACACGAACAAAACTAACCAAATCCTCCCCTCCTAGACGCAACATACCAAATCGCCATCTGGTCCAATGTCGAAGCAGGGCTCGGAATTACAGCCGGTAGTCTCGCAACCCTCCGACCCCTCCTCCGCATCTGGACGGGCTCTCACTCAGACCCATATTACTCCACTGGATTTCCCAATGGACGCTCACGGTCTGCCTCGCGCCAGTTGGGCGGCGGTGAAAACCGCCCTTTTCCTTTAGGCTCGCTGGACGACAGCGGGCAGTCTCGCTTGAGGCCGGATAAGCTTGCTGTTACTGTCACGACTATCCAGAGCCAGAGGGATCCTGATGATGTCTATTCCACGAGCCCGAGTACCAGCGAGGAGAGGTTGACTATTGATCGGCCCTCGCCTCGGTTGCAGAGTGAGATGGGGTTAGGGATTCATCGCACGTTTGAGGTTACGCAGACTTCGACGGCGAGGCATGATTCTGAAGGGATAATTGTGAGGGAACATGTATAATTGAACGTATAACTAGATATGACTTAAAAAAAATGTATATATTAATATCTTATTATCATTAACTGTTTCCTTCTTTCGGGGTTTGTATGAAGGAATGATTTTTTAGTAAGGACGAGTCGTGGTTAGGTGTATAATGTTACAGCCGTGAAGAATGGGTTGTATTTGATTCATTTAGTCATTATATCTGAGATGGCCTCAAACAACTCCCCTCTATCGACTAGGCTGCTTTCCCTGCTTCAACGGCTCGAAAATATCCGTCCACAGCTCATTAGCCTCACCCAGGAAGTATGTCAAATCAACATCAGCCAGACTAGCATCCCCATCTCCAGACATAGTCTCAAGCTGCGAGATCAAGCTCTCCAGACCAAAAGCCTTACCCGTTGCCTGCGTTGCGCCAGCTTCGAGCATAACATTGACAACATGGATATGGAAATGGTAGTAAGTCGGTTGATCTGCGAGATTCAAAGTCAGCAAAAAAGCTCCCCCATGCAACGAAATGCAACAAAATGCAATCCCAAACAGCAACTCACAATGAACATAAAGCTTAATCTGATCCTCCTCCAAACCCGGATACATAGAAACCGTAGCCTCAAGCACCCTCTCCCTCAAATACTTCAACCAAGGCACAAAACTCTTCTTAAGATCCCTCAAACTCCAAATATCTCTCCTCTGTGCCAAAGCCAACAAATGCAACGACCCCATACTCTTCCGATCCCAATTCAAATCAGGCAACATCAAAAATCCATCTTCAGGCCCGTGTCCCTCATCCCGCAGAATCACATCCTCCTGCTCAGTCCTGCCCTCGAGGATATTAAACACCCAGTTCAGCCTTCCTTCCTCGCGCTTCGCTTGCATGTACGGCCGCACGTGCGTGCGGTATATCTGCCCCGTCTCTGTTACCATGCGCAGCTGCTGGTCAGAGTACTTCTTGATGTGCTGGGCTGTGCATGGCCAGATGAGGTTGAGTTTGAGGTCTTGCTGGGGATTGGCGGCTTCGGCCGGTGTTGGGTCGCTGTTGTTGCCACTTGACGAGGCAAGGTACCAGCGGTAGATGTCGTTGTCGCCTAGGTTGTTGATTCGGGAGATTGCTGCTTGGAAGGCTTGCAGCACGGCGAGGGATTCGGTTGCGAATGCCGCTCGCTCGGCTATTAGAATGCCTTGCGTGTTGTCGATTGTGCCTAGGAGGGCGATTCGTCGGCCATTTTGGTCTGGAGGGGTTTTTTTTAGTCTATTGATTGCTGCGGGGTGGGGGTGGAGGAGTCGTACCTTGTTTGAGGAGCTTGCTCACTTGGAATTTGGTAATTAGTGCCTCCGGGGCGAGCTTGTCTGTGTCTGGGGAGTCGGCCATGTTTGGGAGCCTTTCAATGGTGGGATGTGAGGAAGTTCAAGATGTTTTGTTCGATTTATCCAGCTTTATCGGGTGGGGCGGTCAGGCTTATCGTTTTGGTGTAGATCCATGGATCTATGAGATGGATTCTGTTGCAACGCCTGGAGAATTCATTTTATATTGTCAAAAATGATCTATTTAATGCTGTAGAGTTGCTTTGGTGTTCTGATGCATTGAACCCTAAGTGTATCCATTAAACGCATTGGACCAAAGACAATTGCTCTCAAGCCTTCTTCAACAAATAGCTCGTACTTGATGAAGGTTATAAGGAGAACTCGGTGCTCAGCTTCAAGCAAAAGTAAGTGTATATCACAGAATTATGCTATCAGATACATTGATATACAGCCTAGAGCCCAAAAAAGCCCTCCATCAACTCCATTCTAACCCAACAAGCCTTCCTCAAGCAGCAGCAGCCTCCTTTCCATTCGTCGCTGATGGGGTTGTATGCATCTAATGAACTGTCAGAAAATAATCAAGGCAAAAAAAAAGAACCTAGTTAGACCATTATTTGAAGGGAATAAAACATACCGCGTCCGCAAACTGCAGCCACTCTTCCACTCCCTTGACAAAAGTGTCATCTGCCGCAGGAAGAGCCTCATGCCCCCATACTACAAACTCATCAAAGGTCGATTGCGTCTCCATAATCTTCACTGGTTCCTCGGGCTCAGCCTCCGCATCCTCAGCGCCGTCACTGTCTGCCCGTTGAGCTGCAGGTAACACGCGGTCTGTGGGTGTTGCGACTACACCTATATATTTTCAATGGTATATAGTCAGCCAATTATGATTCAATTGCAGTTTTCATATTTCTGGGAAGCTCATTTGGACGTTCTCTCATACCTTGGTAGCCATCAGGAATGGCGACGCGCCGACCTCGAAGTTTGCGTCCGCGGAAATGCGCCGTTTGTGTACTATCTGGATGTAAAAGAGATGTTAGTTTTGGTTTGCGCGTTAGTCCGGCTAGGTTTCTCCAGCGGGAGCTGTCTGTCTTGCATGCCTTTTTCGTCTTTCACTGTCCAATACCGGTCCAACGAATCAATTGGTCCATCGTGGTGAATCCGGCATGGAATGATATTTGGTGTGTATTGTAGAGTCGAGTCATTCTTTTCAGATTGTGAGCTCGCTTTTGAGCAGGGCTGGATGGCGTACATGTCGGGCATTGTATCGGTTGCTCTTCGTAGAGGACGGATGTTCTGTTTTGAGGACTAGCTGGGCAGTAATGGTGCAATCCAGGATATTGTTGGGATTAATTGGTTGCTGGTTTGTTCTTATGTCGTCGAAGTCTGTAATTGGAGGGATATTGCCTGGGTTCTGCGGTTTGGGTGGTTGCGATGATTCTTGCAAAAGATTGGAGGTGAGGCGCGACGCGTTCTCCCGTTCTCCGCGTTAAGTGGAAATTCGAGAGATCGACGTCTACAAATATTTACTTAGCTATCTTTACAAGTATATTGTAGATGTTTCAATGCATTTGAAGTCGTAAAAGTAAAAGATTACAGCCAAATTTCCATGGAAATGCAAAACAATTCAATTGCCAATGATCGGGGTATACATGTACAGAGTATCTAAGCATGTCTCTTCGAAAGCTATATCGAATATTCAGCCACATCAGCGCTTGCGAGTGGTCTTCTTCTTCTTCTTCTTTTTCTGGCCCTCGCCCTTCTCCCTGGTGTCGGCAAGCATCCGAGCAGGCCATTTCTTCAAATGCTCCCGCTCAAACGCATCCTTCTCCCGACGATACAAAGCCATCGTAGCCCGAGCATCTTCCACACTAGAATGTGCTCCGTCCTGGATCTTGATTCCCAAGAACTCCTCAGCCAAAATCTTCAAACGTGGTGATCCACCGCCTGCGATCCTCCGATATGGCGCGTGCTTGCTGGTGTCTCGGATGTCGCGCTTGGGATGGCTGAGGAGGAGAGCGTCCAAATCATTGCTGACAGCATGACCGACGAGAATGCGGTCCTTCATGATTTCTGCAATTTCTTTTTGGACATGCTCAAGGGTTCGTGCCTCCACCATGTGCTTCGGGGCAATCCCGCTCACGTGCGTGCGCCAATCTGTGACCATCTCCTTCGGGCGCACGTACGAATCGTATATTTGGTCGCCATTGAAGTTCACGACACTGACGCGGGCAAGTGCAGAGTCGCTGTCAGGGTTTGGTCCGACGCCCACCATTTCACAATCCATTGCGACATATTTTCCTAGGTCGGCACTTGAGCTGGATAGTTAGTAGCTGATTTAGAAAGGAAAGTCCAAATAGTATGAATGTATGGCTGTACGATCTGTGATCTAGCGCTTACCTTGATGAACGGCCTTCATTTTCCTTGTGACGCGAACTCGTCTCAATCTTTGGAGCTGATGCATCGGCTGAATCGCCAGTCTCTTTCTTATCAGACATCCTCTTGCGCTTGAGGGTTGGTTTGGCGTCTTGGTTATATGGCTTTTGCTTCTCGGTCAACTTTCGTTTCTTCACGATCCCATCTCCAGCGTCGCGGTCGGAGGGCTTGCGCTTGACAGTGGGATCTTTCTTGAATGTCGCCTGCAGCTTCTTCCAATTACTGGATAGCGCTGTCTTGTCCATTCTGTGTCTGTTGGTGAGAGAGAAGATGGGAATGATAAAAAAAAGCCGATAAGCAAGTAAATTTTCGGGACCCACTTTTATTTTGGGGTTGATAGTTGACCAGGTACCGACTTTGATACAGTGCTATATGACCAAGTTATATGTACAATTTGTATGTGATATATACGATTATCTTTACTGTATTTTCAATTGTGTGTTTAGTGTTTACTTTAATTTAGTTTAAGTGCTTGAAAAATATTGAGATGAAACCTGATCCTAACTCATCTAACCTTAGGACCACATTATATGTCCAGATAACAAAATGCACGCGCTTTTAGAGGGAATATGCAGAATCATTCGTACCCAGTCTTGAAATCCTTGGAAGCCCACTTCTCCGTGATCTGTCTTCTGGCCTTGCGTGCCTGGGTAATTGGTGTGCGGGACTCAAGCTTACCCTGAACGATCAATGTTCGGAATCGGTCATCCAAGAGATTGCCTTCCGGCTTCAAGAGTCGTAGAGAATCCTGCAGCTCATCAGGAAGCACCAGCTCCAACGGCTGCTCGGGTACACTAAAATAGCTTGTTAGTCGCAACATAGGTTTAGAAAAATGAACAAAAACGTACGCTCTCTTGCCACCGAAGGGCTTCTTGCGGAGGGCAGTCTCATCAGCATCTTCAGAATCATCCGCATCCGACTGATTCTCGCGCTCGAGATCCCGTTGCTGGATTTGCTCGGTGATCTTGAGGATATGCTCGGCCTGTGCATCTCTCTTTACCCTCTCTGCTTCCCACTTCGCTTTCCCCTCTGCTGCCTTGCGTCGGATGACCTTGTTGCGCTGTGTCTTGGACTTCCGCTCGGGGCGCTTCTTGTTCAGCCACTCGGACTTCTCGTACTCGCTTTCGAAGCCCTCCCAGGCACTTTCATCATCCGACTTCACCTCTCCGTTGTCGTTCTGGGCCTCCTCAATCAGACGCTGCTTCTCAGCTTCCTTGGCCTCTTCCTCCAACCGCAGCTTCTCGGCCTCAACAGCCTTGGCACCATGTGTCTCCAATAGTTTGTCCCACTCTTCGAACACAGGGTTGTAACTGGTTCCGGCGTGCGGCATCTTAACAGAGGGGATGGGCTTTCCATTGGCAGCAAGCGAGATCGGTGCGTGTTTTAATGTGATCGGCTCAACCTTGGGCTTGGGCTTCTGCAGGAAATCAAAGCGAGGGTCGTCGTACGTGAGTGTGGGTTCGGCATCTTCCGCCCACGGATCGTAGAACTCGTTTTCGGTCTTCTTGCCCAGAGGGTTTCCCTCCTTGGCTACTTGCTTCAGGCGGAGATATTCCTTTTGGCTAACCCAGTCGCTCTTGGGCTTTTTCGTCTTCGGCTCAATGACTCCGTCGGTGACGTTCGGGTTTACACGCTTCCGGCCGTCCAGGGCGGGGATCATTGACCGCTGGGCAAGGATCTCATCTGACTTGAGGGGCTTCTTTTGCTTTTTGGCGATAGACTTGCGCACGTCTTCATTACCAACAGTATCGAGAACGAAAAGCTGATCGGAAGGCTTTTCGGAGATAAGACCACTAGCAGGGAATAATTAGAATCCAAATTCACTAGTAAAGAGCCAGAAAAAAAAGAGAGCAAAGGTAGGCCTACCCTGTGATCTCGGCGTCCTTCAGATCGCGCAAACCCTCCTGCACCGTGGTGATATCGACATTCTTGCGCCACGCCTTCTTGCCCTTACGGGAAGTTTGCTTGAATTGCTTCGGGGCATCCACGGAGGTCGACATTGTGGAAAACAACAGAGACAGACAGTCAACGTTGATAGTATGAAAATATTGGCTTATCTTTTTTTCCGGTCCAAAAAAAATCTGGATCTGCTTATCTCAGCACGCGCGGGGGCGGTGATCGCGGCTACCACGTTTACCGCGCTTGGCTGCGAACTCGCTTTTCTTCCGCTTCAAGCTGTCATCACTTACGGCGCGTGAACTCTCTATACGCCAGTGGGTTGTCATTTTCCATCTTTCTGGTGGCACCCTTGATCTTTTACTATCGCTTTTCGAAGATTTGACACTGCGCTTAGCGCAATCGCACGCCATGCCTGTTGTCAAAGGAGGTGTCTGGTAAGTGCCACCGTTGGAACTTGCCCACGAGCCTTTGACGCTAACATATTTTAGGACCAACATTGAGGATGAAGTGCTTCGGGCAGCTGTACGTTATTTATGGCTCACTAGGAACCTCCCTAGCCAACGTTTGATGGGTCAAAAACTGACTCGATCGCAGGTATCCAAATATGGTCTCAACCAGTGGGCTCGAGTCTCCTCCCTGCTCGCACGCAAAACCCCAAAGCAATGCAAGGCGCGCTGGATCGAATGGTTGGACCCGGGTATTCGGAAAGTCGAGTGGTCGCGGGAAGAGGATGAGAAACTGCTCCACCTTGCGAAGCTGATGCCCACGCAATGGCGCACAATCGCTCCCATCGTCGGGCGCACTGCCACACAATGTCTTGAACGCTACCAGAAGCTTCTGGATGAAGCCGAATCTCGTGAAAATGACGAGCTCGGTTTGGGAGGACCTGGCGAGGAGAGCGCCGCCCCCAGTGCGGACGATGTCCGCCGCCTACGGTACGTGAATTTTACTAAAGGTCATGATGTTCGCGTTGCTGACACCTTTTAGACCCGGTGAACTCGATCCCGACCCTGAGTCCAAGCCTGCCCGTCCCGACACTATCGATCTGGATGAAGATGAGAAAGAAATGCTGAGCGAAGCGCGTGCTCGTCTCGCCAACACACAGGGTAAAAAGGCCAAGCGAAAGGCCCGAGAGCGTCAATTAGAAGAGTCGCGTCGACTGGCCGTTCTCCAGAAGCGTCGCGAACTCAAGCATGCCGGTATCAACGTCAAGGTTGTCACGCGGAAGCCCGGTCAGATGGATTACAATGCAGACATCCCATTCGAAAAGCCAGCTGCTCCTGGATTCTACGATACAATTGAAGAGAAAGATCTGAATGAACGCCAACGAGAAGCATTTGATCCTCGGAAGCAGCAGCTCGCAAATAAGAGAAAGGGTGACCAAGACGATGATGCGGAGCGCAAGAAGCGCAAGAACGATAAAGGCAGCACTTCGGCCGCTTCTGCTGCAGCTGCACGGGCAGGTCAAATGCAGAAGATTCGCGAGGCTGAACAGAGCAGCAAGAGACGGGGGTTGAACTTGCCAGCACCGCAGGTCACCGAAAGCGAAATGGAAGATATTATCAAGATGGGAATGGCTGGGGATAAAGCTAGTCGAATGAGCGCCGATGAAGCAGGCACCCGGGAACTCCTTGGAAATTACTCAGCTATTGTTGGAGGAACTCCTATCAGAACCCCGCGAGCTGCCCCGGAGGAGGACCGTATCGCCAACGAAATCAAGAACATTCGAGCTTTGACTGAAACTCAGTCTTCTCTCCTGGGAGGGGATAACACACCTCTCCATGAGGGCAGTTCATCAACTGGATTTGATGGGATTGCTCCTCGGCGGCAAGCGATTGTCACTCCCAACCCCATGGCCACGCCATTCCGCCAGGCAAATGGCATGGGTGCAACACCTATGCCTGGTGGTGTTGGGGCCG